CTTTACACACATACACACACAGTGGGACCAAAAGACCAAGGAGTTTATAATTATATATTATACATGTACAATATAAATATAGAAAAGTACAGGACTTACTGCTGTCTCCTGTCAGGTGGAGAAGAGGACTAAACAAGGGGATGAGAGTAAGTCAGACATCCTTGGCCTTCCCCACTCTAGCTCCAGGGGCTAGGACTGCACCCTCGGATGGAGGGGCCCCTGAACAGGCAGGAACTGCCTTCTTCCCTCAGCTGCTCCCCCCCAGGAGTGTGAATTGTGGCAGAATCCGTTGAGAGGGGATTGCAGAAACAACCCCCAGCTGGAGGCTCTGCATATAGTGAGCATTTGGTAAATTTTAGTTTCCCCTCATTTTACATTTTATTTTGCAACTTTTGGAAAAACATTCACAATTTTCATTAGATTGTGATTTATCTTTCCTGTACTTTTTTGCACAAAAGTAAACATGTATGTATGTGTGTTTTTGTTTTCCTTTCTTCCTTACCAAAAAAGTGCCAAATTTCTCTCCCCACGTGTGGCCCCTCTAGCCCTGTGCCTATTTTCCCACAATCTCACCACGCAGACCAGTGTCAAGATTCTGGATTCATGCCAACTGATAGATGCGAAATGGCATTTAGTGCAGCTTTCATATGTCCGTCTTTCAGTAAGAGTGAGGTATATTTTTAAGGACATCTGTGTATCTTTCTGAGAATTATGTGTCTTGCTTTTACCTTTTTTTTTCCTATCAGGTTTTTGTTTCCCCCACATCAATTTAAAAATTCCATTTATAAAATGATTGTATTTAGTTTATATTTTAACTTGGGAAATTTAACACCTTTATGTTATTGATTTGTCCCATTGAGAACAAACAATGTTTTTCTATGTGTTCAAGTCTAAGTTTGTATTTTTCAGCAGTATTTTAAAATTTTCCTTATTTGGGGGGTACATTTCTGTTAGTATTTTGTTTTGGTGTTGTTGCTACTGTAAATGGGGATTTCTCTTTCATTATACCTTCTCATTGGTTACTGTACATATATATTGATTTTGTATGATAATTTTACACACTGCTCTCCTGGTGAATTCCTTTATTATTTGGATTGGTTTTATCATTGATTCTCTTGGTTTTTCCAGGTATACAATCATATCTTATGCAAACAAAGATACTTTTACTTTTTCCTGTCAATTCTTAGGGCTTTAATTGTTTTTTTTTCTTTAGTAAAAATGTCTGTAGTGTTTCCACATTTTAAAAGTTGCTAGCTTTAGGACTCAGGTATAAATATTTACATATTTTATTTTTAATCACAACCTTCATAAACTAAGCCAAAGGATTTTGTCTTTTATTTAGCTTCCTGAAAAGCGTCCCACATTTCAGCAACTCCTATCTTCCATTGAACCACTTCGGGAAAAAGACAAGCCTTGAAGAAGAAAAGAGGTTTGATGGGAATGAATACAAATATTAGCCAACATCTTCATTTTTAAGGAAAGTAGCAAGGCACAGATGATGTAATCTAAGTAGTTCTTAGTGATATTCTGTGTGATGATTGTCTGTTTTATTATCTAGAAATGAAGAAGGTAGGAAACAAATGATATCCTTGAAATTTAGGTCAAATTAGTAATTTTGTTTATGCTGCTCTTATTATTAGACTTCCAAGCCTATAGCAAAAGCACATTTTCTGATTGCAATAGAGAGTAGGCATGTACCATGTGTAAAGTTTGAACAGAACTGAAAAATTGTTTGTTGGGTATTTGTTCTTTTCTTTATATTGTCACTCACATGATACTAACTAAATATGCTATTAATAAGTACAGAAATGTGGACATTTACTTCAATGTTCTCAATCTTTAGCATGCATGAGAATCAATGGAGAGTTTATTAAAACACAGATTCCTAGGAACTACCCCAGAGATTCTGGTAGAGCAGGTCCAAGTAAAGCCTTTAAAAAGCACCTTGATGTTACTGTGCAGTCGGTCAGAACTGCCCTAGGGGACCTCATTATGTGGCGGGCATCATTAGGTGCTCCATCATTGAATCCAAGTAACACCGTTCTCATCTGACATCTGGATCAGAACAATCACTCTTTATGTCACCATGTACACAAATAGAAAAGTAAAGGTGAATAATATTATCCCATAATATATTAACTATGTTTCACATAGAGCAAATATTAAAAGATGATGCTAAGATTTAACTTGGTGCCTTTTTCCTTACCATTAACCATTATCGATCTCAACTCAAGTGTAACCCTGATCTTATATCTAGGATTGATTAGATTGTTGCTTTCTAGTCATTTGAAATCCTTGCATTTGGGGCTCTGAGGTTTCTGGCCAGTTTGGTAACTAAAGTTTCTATTTCAGACTCCTATGTTGACAGAAAAGTGCAGAAGTGTGCATTTAGTTTCTCACGGCTATTACTAAAACATACTTTAGCTTTAAAACTCTTCCTCGGAATGCCCTTCACAGCCTGCTGCTGAACCCACAGTTTTCATTTCATTGGAATTTTTCTTTTTTAAATTTTTATTTTTAAATTTTTAAAATTATAACTCTATTACAGTTGTCCCAATTTTTCCCCTTTGCCCTCCTCCGCCCATCCCACCACGATCCAGCTCCCACAGTTAATCTCCACCCTATTGTCCCTGCCCATGGGTCATTCATACACGCTCTTTGACTAGCCCCTTCCTCTTCTTTCCACCATTATTCCCCTCCCCTCTGGCTTCTGACAGTCTGTTACACGTTTCCATGCCTCTGGTTCTATTTTGCTTGTTAGTTTATTTCTGGAGTCTTTCATTGACATTTCTATAATGTCAAGAAGGGAAGAGAGAGGTTATATGGAGGACACTATTACAATAAAAAGATACACCAATTAAGCCCTGCTACTTAACCTTCGAGCTGTAAGTTAACAATCTTCCTTAAGAGACATTCGTACCCTTTCTCATCCCATTCACTCCCTCATTCCCCTCAGCTTTTTTGAATGATCCCTCTTAGTTATTTATTTCTTGACATTTCAATAATGATTCCTTTCTTTTCAACACAATTGACTCATAATAGTTTTCTATTTTTTACAGAGGTACACAAATCTCAATTTATATTGAAACAAAATTTTAAAAGTAACCACTAGGGTACTTACACATTCAGCCAGCATTTATTTAGCATGTAATGCGTGCCAGGTTCTTTCCTACCTCTGCGGAAAGAAGGAACAACTAACATAGCCCTTCCTTCTCAGTGTGTCGCGATCAGCTCTCTGATCCTATCTACCAGGGATGGCAGCACAGACTGTGATCCCTGTCCAGAAAAATATTTCCCAGGCCCAAGCTATGTCTTACTGCCCCCCGCCCTGTGAATGTTGCTTTTCTTTCTTATTATTTTTATGTATTTTTTCAGAAAATAGTCATCCTTATAATTAAAGTAATTCATGCTTGTTGCAAAAGTTCAAACAATGCAGAATTGTCTACTGTGAAAAGAAACCAAAACCTAGCCTACAAACCTGGCTCCAAAAATCAAGTCAAGCAAGATTTTAAGGTCCTAGCAGAGGCTCATCAGAAAATAAGTCCAGTGATGCTAGGGGTAGCCAGGTAAAGGAACAACATGTATACTATTTAAAACATGCATAATAATTTTTAATGCCGTTCAACTGTGTTTAGTGGTGATACCTGGCATTTATTGTTGTTTTAAACCAGGGGACTGCTAACACTTCTTGGAAATGAAAAAAAAAGTTCATCCTCCCCTGACTTGGCTAACTGAGCCACCGTCATCATTTTCTCTATAGAATTTATTAAGAGCAAAGGTATCTAACATTATGTTGGTCACCACATAGAGTGAGTTGATGGGTAGAGTTTGGATATTTTCATCTATTTAATCTATTTTAAATCAGTCTTCAGGTATGTAGTGGATGCTGTGCTCAGAGCTGGGCTGGAGGCTCTGAGATACACATAAAAGCAGCATCATGTTTGGTTCTTGAGATACATAATCTTAACACAACTCTTTTTAGGCTGAATTTACAATTGCTTCATATAATAAAGAAATTTAAGAAATTCAGATACATTCCAAACCACTTGAGAGGTCAAGGGCCCCAGGCATTCAAACAGCAACCTAGTTGTCCCTAGAAGTGAAAAGAGCACAGAATCCACAGAAGCCCCAGTACGTAAGTATCCACGAGACCACAGGAGTGTGCAAATCTAGTATTTATTGAGTATCTACTTTGTGCTCAGCACTACCCAGACATTGTGGATAAATACAAAAGATTTAAGAGATTGAGTGCCTACTTCAGAGGGTGACATGCAATTGGGCTTTCCACTCACTCCACAGTTAGAGAGCAATGGAAGTCAGTTTCTACCAGGTGTGCTGTGCGGGAGGCATCATGGAGGCCTCAGGGGCTAAATAGCTTGGAAGTAAGAAGGCCACATCTTCTGACATTCTGGATTCTTCTCTCTTCTTTAGAATTGTCACCGAGAGGAAAGCACAGTCTAGTCCAATCATCATTGGGCAAATCACTATAGTACTTAGATTAATGTGAAGACAGCAAGTCATCCTTTACACTTGAATTAGAATAAAGTGAACAATATGTGTCATTATTAATCCCCGCAGCTCCATCGGTTCACATGCACCTTTCTTAAAAGCTATCCATCCAGATTCCATGCCAGGCTCCTACACTGAATCCTGCCCTATATGCCTTTTTCCCACAACTCCAGCAACACAACGGACATTTCTATTTCCATTACCCACGAACAGCCTGGGAGGCCAAAGACACACTTTCTCTGTTATTCTCAGAGATAAACATTTCTTTTAGGAAACAGGAGAAGTCAAGTTCTGAGGCAGAATTACGTAGTAAAAGCAATGCAAGTGAAGGGGCCCTCTCTCCATCATGTCTTCTTTGGACAGATTTCCTGAACAGAGAGAGCCATGGTGTTGATGTTTAATGACATCTTTATAATCTCATATTTTCTGTACTGTGAAATTAATGCTTATGTACAATAAAATCACCTCAAGAAGAAGTAAAACAGGTTTTTCTAAAAGGAAGTTTGCACATCATCACCATTTTGGAATCCTGGATTGTTTTCTCCTTTACTCAAATTCATGGAGGCATAAGGATTTTCTTCATTGCTTGCTTGATTTTTCCTGTTAAATAAAATGAAGTCACCTTAATATAGTGATGTTAGAATGACACTGCCTCCCTTGGACTCCACTGGCACTAGGCAATTTTACATGTCAACATCTAATCACTGGTGTATTTGTTTGTGTATGTCTCCTATTAATGGACTACAAACACCTGCAGTGCATTAGGTTCACTTCTTTAGCTTTGGTTGTCACCGTGGCTGGCAGAGCATAAGAGTCTGGTTAGGATATCAGCTCTGGAGTCAGAGGGAGGGGATCTCTGTGCCTCAGTTTGCCTATTCAGGAAATTATAGCAATTAATGAATGAAGTAATGCTGGCAGAGCACTGACAGTACCTGGCATGTAAACCTCATTAAATATTAACCATTATTATTTTTAGGAACTCAGTGGTCATTTAGCCAATTGCCTCATTAAAGAGCTCTCTACTGTATTAGCAGCTTTCAAAGTATAAAAATCAGGGTAGGACAGCTTTGTAGTACAATGACCAGCTTTGAAAACTGGATGTATATTCCAATCTGTTACTCATGAGCTGTGTAAACTTGAGAAAGTTATTTGGCCTCTCCGAATCTCAGTTTTACATATACATGAAGATAATTACATATTTACAGTATAGGTTTGCTGAAAACATTAATGTATGAAAGTACTGAGCCGGGTAGCCAGTCTTATTTTTCTGTGTACCTTCTAATAACATATTGTGTGTCATGAAGGAGATGTCCCAAAATAATATATTGAATGAATTAACTTTGGAATAGTATCTCATGGGCAAAACTTTAGTATGTAGAAGAGTGCTTCTCAAACTGTAATGTGCATACAAATCACCTGGAGGGTGTTTACCAAAATGAAGATTCTGATTCAACAGATCTATAAGAAATGGATAACTTGGTTGGCTTTATGAAGGAAACTTGGAGGCAAAGAGGAACAGAGGAATCCTGTATATCCTTTTGTGTTTTTAAAATTTTAACCATATGGATGTATTCTATTCAATACCTAATTTTTAAAATGAAGTTACTTTGGGGAACTGAAAAACTCCATATGGAAGAAAATTGAGCAAAATAGGCTAGTGCATGTAAAAATTACATCAAGAAGATATTTAAACAACCTGAAGTGCGCAGAGTTCTGTTAGGTGCTAAAACATATTATTAACCTTAATTACATAAGCCCAATGAAAGTAAATTATTTCACAAGACTAGGGAAAAAAATCTAGTGGCAGAATAAAACTGTAAACCAGGTCTCCAGTGATTAAAATCCCCAGTGGACTTGGATCTTCAACTCAAGAACAGATTAGATGGCACCTGACCCAGAAGAATGAAGATGATTAGAGAGTAGCAGTTTGAAACAAATCTCAGAGCTCATTCTTAAATGTTTCACAGTTCAAACACATCACCCTTGCAGTCTCTAGGGTCATGTCTAGACCCAGGAGGACTCATCAGTAATAATAACAGCCTGAGCCAGCCCACTGCTCCATTTACAGGGCCTCTTAGCAGTAGGGAAAGGATGCTGCAGCCGGGGTGGAGTTTACCAGGACATGCTGGTAAACCGCAGGCTGGGTCTCTACTGTGTGGCAGGGCTTGCCAGGAAGACGAAGTGCTGATGAAATGTGCTAATTGTCCTGAACAACCTACCACTTCCTACAAAATTTCCAGCTGATTTTCCCTGAACCTTTGTTTTAGGATAGATAAGTCTAGGAAAGGTCACTTACTTCCTTCGGTCTCTGATCCCGGTGAAGATGAGCACGGCAATACCAATCACTACCACTCCCATCACGACCCCAAAAACAATCAGCCATATGGTGACAGGTGGCTGGGAAGGGAGTTCCAGTTTAGGCTGAATACCCAGAAACTCCAGGCTGTTGTCATCCAGGAGAAAAGCACCATTGATACGGCCCCGGAACATCCTATTCCCAAAACAAAACACTTAAGCAAAAGAAACACTTGGGCAAAATAAAATGGGGTATAATTGCTTACTCCTTATATCACTCCTTCTGAAAGAACTTCATAAGGCTTATCCTAAGAACATACACCTTAAATAGCAGTGAAATCAAAGTAGATCATCCGGTTCAAGGAAAGATATGTTTTAATAATGATGCACCTTTAATGTCTTGCAACCTGGATTATGTTTGGCAACAGTTTCATTGGATAACTGGTTGCAGGTGTGGAAACATGCAACTAGATAGCATTTGTTCATTTGTGATGATTGTGTTGCAAAAGCAAGGTTAGCATATTTGGCAAGAACTTCCCTTCTGTCAGAGTATGTCTACAATGACTTTATATCAAATAATGGAAAAGAGCAATCAAACACACCTCTTCTACAAACGAACTGGGTCCTGTACCCAGTTGTGTTTTCCAAATAAAAGGTGTTGACATTTGGAACCAGCACTGGGGAGGAACAAAAGAAAAGGGGCTGTGCCAATTTCTCCAGCACCAGGATGGGACATGGTTGGATTTTATACATAAAAATGGATGAAGATTATTTTAAAAACAAAACAAAAACTAGTGAAATGGAGAATATTCTGGATCAAAAACCAAAGTGTCTGGCATCCCATCCTCCTACCGTTGAGTATAGTGCAGGTCAGGAAGTCAGGGCCCACCAAGGGAGGGAAAGAGGTCAAAGCAGAATTAGTCCTGTAACCCCTGGCAACCTTGGCCTGAAAGTGTTTCAAGTCATTCTGGAAACAGGAAGTTTGAGGTCCCCTGCAGCTTTCAGGAGGACTGGGCTTTTTCATGATGATCTCAGCTAGCACTCTCCCCCAAATGAGAGACAAATAAATCATTTGGAAGTAGTAGTGAGTCTCTGGGCGCGGGTAGGTTGTGCACTCACCTAAGCCAGATTTTCCAGGCACACACAGTGCCCAGCAGGTCTAAGTTCTCAGCTCAAGAGGGCCACCTACTGAGCTTCCTCATGTCAGGGCATCCTAAGCTTTCTAATACAAGGGAAACCATCGTCATCTACCCATTCTTCACTTTTGCTCTTTTGGGAAACAGCTGAGGCAAATTGGGCAAGCTGTTTCTTCTAAACGCCCACTGCCACAGCAAGTGCCTCTCTTTGTGTGGAGGCTAACCAGTGCCGAAGAAAATCCATGCTTGCCTATTATGTTTCAGACTTGGGTCAGTTGAATGAATCCTATATCCAAGTCCCCCTAGCAAGTGATGGTAATACCTGTCCATATCCCTTCTGTGTTTAAAACATCTTCCATGAGTGCCGGCCAGACTTTCTTCAGCCAGTACCTGCTGCCTTTGCCTGAGAGCATTCTCAGGCCACAAGATTCTGCCCTGCTTGCAGGCCAGAAGTACTGGGGAATCCATGTCACCTATAAGCAGTTCTCAACCAATGACCGGTGGAAGGTGGCAAATAAATATCCCAGCTCTACTGGAACAATTTACGTGCATATTATACACAGTCTTCCAGAATTCCCCATATATATATACACACACACACACACACACACACACATACACACACACACACACACACACACACACACACACACACACACACATATATATATATGACTAAGACCAGCGGGTGGTACACAGTAACAGCATACTCAATATTGCATTTGTTAAGCCCCTCAACCTTATAGTTTGAAAGTAAAATATCACCTGATGGCGTTTTCAACTTCACTTCTGGGAATGATGTCAGACATATTTTTAGGTGTAGTGACAAAGAAGTTGAAGGAGATTCTTGGTTTCAAATTTCTCACGTGCACATCCTCTACCCTGTGGAGAAGCAAAAGAAACATCTACCTTTGTAGCACAGAGGACACAATGAAGAGAATGAAGACTTCCGCTGGTAAAAAGGAGACTGGCAGAGGGCCACGGGGTTAAGTAGAGAAATATGGGGCAGAGCAAACAATGGAAGAATGTAGTTGTCCATGAAAGCATAACACTGTCCAAAGCACATGAACTTGGCTACATAAGTGGTGATGGCATGCCTTGGCACTATTGGTGCTGCCACTATATAAAAAGCATGTTTTTTTTCAATGACAGAGAAATTTCAAACTAAGAGCAACAGAAGAATCAGTGAGGAATCACTGGTGAGTCAGGATTGTGAAAAACAACACGGTGGGCAGTAGTGATTTAGTAACATGGACAGAGGTGGTGTGTTTACATCCTGCAATCTTGCCCCACTCAGCAGAACTGTCATGTTATACCCCCTGGTGTGGGCAAGGAGTGGGGTTTACAGTACAAAGTGATGAGACTGTGCTCTCACAGCTGCCAGAGTGATTCTAATCAAATCTAAGCCCAATCATGTAGCTCAGAACAAGAGCCCAAGTCCTTAGAATGGCTTGTGAGGCCCACATGAATTTTCTTCTCCCTTTCCAACCCCCATGTCCCAGTGCCGCCCTAACCAATGTACCTCCTACTTGTCTTCTGTTAGCTCACTCTGCTCCAGTCACACTGGCCGCCTTGCTGTTCAAAAGGTCAAGGATATTCATTCCTCAGAATCTTTCTACCTGCTACTTTCCTTGACTGAAACATTTTCCCCCATTGTCTGCATTACTGGCTAGCACTGGTTGTAGTAATCTGAAAGCATAGCAAATCAACTCACCCAAAAGGAGTCGTCTGCTTTTTCTCCTCTGAAAAATACCTTCTCATAGCATATGCAACTGATGACTGGAAGAAGTACATTTCATTGTCATTCCACTTATACTGCAAATTCAAAAGAAAAACACTGCTCAGTAGGAATCAGGATACAGGCAAGGCTTGCTAGCCCAGAAGGATTATTTTTAAATTTTCTAATATTTCAAAGATTCCTGATATTCATGAAGTCACTGGCCTCCAACCTGAGTGTGTGGCAGCATCACCTGGAGGCCTTGTTAAACCACCGCACACTGGGCCCCACCCTCAGAGTTTCTAATTAACAAAGTGATGAGACCCAAGAAGTTGTAGCTCTAACAAGTTCCCAGGTGGTATTGATGGTGCTGGCCAGGCAACCACACTTTAAGAACCACTGGATTCATCGATTCTTTTAGTTTAGTTTATTGTAACATGAAATAAACACTCTGAGGACAGGTCTATAGATGGGAGTCAGGCAAGTCATGTGTTTTGGTTAAAATGTCCATATATTGTAGACAAATATGCCAAGCTTTTACTATTTTTATAGTAAGTTCTCAAATATGTTTAAAAGAAAAAGAAATTTGAGGTTCAAAGGAAAAAATAACTCTTTGTAAACAAGGTAATTTATTTGTTCTTGTTTTTCAGTGCTGAACAAGTGGTTTGTGTCAAATGGTTTGTGTATTTGCATAGTCTATGAAAAACTTGACAGGAAAAAAAAAAAGCATTCACTCTTTTCTCCAGTAGCTGGCAGTAGAGGTTAATAAATGGGACAAATATTGTATCTCCCCTTTCTCTTTTAAGAAAAGCAATTAGACAAGGTTCCACAAAAGAATTGTGGAATTTTGTACATTATTAGCTTCAGCTTGATATCACTCAGGCTCTGGAAAAAGTTCCTTTAATATTAATAACATTATTAATATTTACTACTAAAATATTCTGGTCTTTCTTTCTTTCTTTCTTTCTTTCTTTCTTTCTTTCTTTCTTTCTTTCTTTCTTTCTTTGACACAGCAATCAGTGCTCTGTTGTCAAGGCCCTTCCCTTAGATTTGTCTAAAATAGGTGTCAGAGAGAAAAATAAAATACAAACATCGAAACAAAGTGAAGAAATCCCAACAACCACCAGGGGAAATCAAAGACTTAACAGGTCTTGACACAGGCCTGGGCAATATCCGACGTTTTCTTGTAGAAACTGGCCTCATCTGGTTGTTATTTCTATATTTAAAAAAAAAACTAAAGGTTGAGTTATCAAAAGATCCAATTGGACTTTTCCATGAAATAGCTTGAGTTGAACAGAACTTCTAGCCCTGGTATGTAGTAGGTGTGCTGGAAGTATGGTTCTGGTCTCATCAAAGGAGACTTTTGCTCAGTGAATTGGCCTCAGAATGTTCAAACCTCCTAAAGACTTTACCAATCCCTTGCTGCATGGAAAGAACACGTGGGACAAATGTCAATAAAAAAAAGGAGAAAATCGAGAAGGAACCTGATCTGCTGGATACTTTAATTAAAATTTATTAGGTCAAGGGAGAGCTAATAATGACAGAAAGAGAAATTATCCCACAGACACTCAATGATTGTTAAGAAAATAGGAAGTTGAACTTTGAGGGTTTCAGAAATGCTGTCCCTCTATTTTTATTATTTCTTTCTTAAATGTTCATTTTTATTTCTACTATGTTATTTATATTCAGATGTCTTACTTATTTATGAAAATTACACTACAACTACTGTGGAGTCTTGGATAATATTTAACCTCCCAAGAAAAGTAAGGGGATAGAAATGCAACCTTTGGATCTATCCAGTACAAATATCAATTTACTATAGCACTTTGGATTGTTTTATTCAGTAGCCCCAGATTGTCCTTTAATCCTGCAGAGCCTTCAGGATGCCATGTCCCACCCAGGCCTTTGATCCCCATCTGCCTGAGACAACGCTCTCCTCTTTACCTACCAAAGCCACTACCTTCACACTGACTAACCTGAAACAGGTGTTGAGAAGAAAACACTAGCTGATTAAAGTAATTCACAAGAAGGTATACGTAATATCATCGTAAAACATTGTTATCCCAAAATGCACACGGAAAGCTTTCAAACTCTTGATGGCACACCCAGAGCAATTAAATCAGAATCTCTGGGAGTGGGACTGAAGCATTAATATTTGTAAAACATCCCATATGACTTCAGTGTGCAGCCAGACTTAAGAAACTGTTCTAGATCAGTCTTTATTGTGTACACAAATGACCTGGGGCTTGTTCAAATGCAGGTTCTGGTTAGGGAGGTCCTGGGCTGTGGCCTAAGATTCTGCATTTTAACAAGCTTTCAGGATGTAGATGATTGACTAAAGCAAAACAAAGCAAAGCTTCCTACATTACTTCTAAAAACAAACATTCTATCAAAACATAACCATGTTCTCCTGAAATACAAGTAATGGTATTAAGAGTAAATTGTAAGGGTGGGTATTTAAATATCATTTTCTATTTGGATGTTTCCTTATATATTTAAATATTATTTAAATTTGGATGTTTTCTCATTGGTCTTCATAGTACCTTCAAGGCAACAAGGAAAAAGTAGACATAGCCAATCCAATAAAGAATATGCTACTGAAAACAAACAAATGAAAGCTGAAGGCCAGAATCTGGGACCTGTAGTTCCTAAGAGAACTACGTGGGCTCTCACCTTTTAGACCACACTGGAATGGGCTTACTGTATCCTAATTAAGAGGGTGCACTGAAAATTGATAAACACACTGTCCAGAATACTTACTGCTTCATTTCCAAGAGCTGATTTTAGGCTTATCCTCACTTTGATGCTTTGGTCAGCATCTGATGAAAGAGAAATCACAGACTATAGTTACAAATCACAGATTGACCATGTGTGTTTATTTCCCGCCCTCCCCCCACGACCCCACTAAATGATAGTAAAGGAATTTTTTTAATGTATAAATACACTTTTGGAAAACAAGAAGTAGTAGAGGAGTTGCAACTGCCTTCTCAACAGTCAGGAGGCCATGGCCTTATGTGTGCACAGAGACTGAAGACCTCAAACGTTCCAGAAAATCCTGGAGAGGTTTGGGATTCAGGTACAGTGGGAGGTAGATAGAAGATACCAACTATTCCAATATATCTATTCTTTTCAATCTCATCCCTTTGCTGCTTTTCTGGATTGAATCTACTGCTTCCTCGTTTCTCTGTCTTCTTTCTTGAATTAACTTTTTCCCAGCAATTACTTTCATATTTCTAAACAATTTGTTTATATTGTTATTTCTTTCTTGGTTAGTTTTAGACATGTACTTCTGCCTACCCTTTCACCATCCTTTGTCCCTAAAAGCCCAAAAATAAAGGATATAAGATAGTATATTACTTGGCTCTGTAGACATAATGATGTAAATATTGATAATTTCTTCACTAAAAATCATTACTAAGCTTTATTGTCTTTGAAGAGCAGGATTCAAGTACAGTGGGTTGGGAACTGTTATATTCTTTTATTTTCAATATTAGGCTAATAAAACAGGAGGGGGTAGTTTCCCCTGTACATAGTAGGTACTCAAAAAACATTGTTTCCTCCCCCAATAAAATGATGGTTGCCATCATAGCAGTTGGAAGCAGGGTCTGCTCAGAGCGAAAACATACTCTGCTATGTCTCAGCCCCCTAAGACTGGGGCCAGAGAAGACTCAGTGAAGCAGAAAGGGAGCGATCTGAAATGTGTTAACTCAGTGAACTTACATGGACTCCGGTCGGTGCGCCATCCAACAAAAGAATTGTTGTTCTGCTCCTTCAGCCAGTTAAACAAAGGCTTAAAGTAGTCAAGCAGTGGTCTTGCATTTATTTTCTTTTCTCCTACAATATTTTCCAATGCAAACGTCCAGGGTTTCGATTTTCCAAGTTCCAGCATTTTGCTACATGAAAAAAGGGAATAGGTTCAGGGCCTTTTGAGGAATTTCAGATGTACACAATATTTACATGTCTGATCTATGGTTTCTCCTTTCTGGCTTTGGTAAGTTTGCTCCTGGCACATAAGAAAATAATGCATGTTAATGGATGTATTCATACTTCGATCACTTTTCCCTTCCAATTACTATGAAGAAAATTCTGTAGTAATGACATGGAGAAAGGAGGTGGCCTGTTCAGCTACCACATGGTCTAGGTTCATGTGTGACCACAAAATAAAAATTTAATTAGTGAACTAGGACATTTTGAGGCCTAAACTTTTCTTTTTAGGAAAATAAATCAAATTTAAAGCTAGACATGGAAATTAGTAATTCTGGATAGCAGCAGAGGTACCACATTTTGAAGCGTTTCTTACCGCAGTTTTTCCCCAGCTGCAGTGGAATTTGAAATATCACATTTATGCAGGGGACCTGTATGTTGAGCTGTTCGACAAAGGGCTTCTTGAAACTGGAATTGAAAAATGGTCCTTGTGTAATAACTGTAAAAGAGACAAATAAACAGAAAAAGCAGGCCCATGTTTAGTTAATGTAGTAGAGTCATAGATTGGGGCATAGATTTAAATTCTGAGACCCTAGTAATCAAAGACATAATCATCAAACCTCTTTCTCCAGAAAGACCCAAACATGAATACTTACAGACTCATTATAACCTACTTGTATTCCTGTATCAGGTGATAAAAAGGCAGTATTATTTTGTTAAGTATTAGCTCACATTTGCATTGTGTTTCACAGATTTATAGCCCTCTCATATAAATGATACCAATCAATCCTTACAGCAGGTGAATAATATTACTTTCTCTGTACAAATAAAAAAAACTGAGGCTCAGCAAACTCAAGACCTGGGGCTAATAGCTGAAGAACACAGGTTTTCGCACTTCACGTTAAAAATGCTTTCTTTTACAATCATTCTGAACTCTACCAGTAACAAGAAGACAAACAAAAATACTTGTTTGTTTTCTCCCAAAGATACTATAAATTCCTTGATGGTAGATAAAAGATCTCACACAATTTTACTTAACACAATAAATTGTGTTGAGTTAAACTGCATAGAAACTGATAATCTATTTTGAGGTTTTAGAGGGGGAAGGCAGGTATAGATAGAAAGAGAAATTACAGCCATTGCTTCATAGATCCCTATTTCTCTACCATTAGCACAGTTGTCCACAAGCCCCACAAGTTAAACAGTGAAAAGAAACTGTAATTTACCGGATGAATGAGTAATCATTAGCAACGTGGAACAGAGATGCGGGATCACAGTATGTTTCATCATGGGGAAAAGGTTCCATCACCCCAACTATATCTCGCCTATGGGGGAGAAAAAAGATACATTAGCTGTGGATTGCTCACCAGGAGAAGGGACAGTTGGATGCAGCTAGTGCTGTTTCATCAGCCAATGGTACTAGAATTGGTTGCCAGGTGAAATAAAAACAGTGCCAAAATTACAAACTACAGCTCATTATGTGGTTTTCTCTTCCGTTTTTAATTCAGCCAGAGTATACCATTGGAAACTAACTGTGTCTTCAAAACAAGGATTCAGTAAAGTGCATTGTGTGGCCAAAAACATACAGTGGAAGTCCTAATAACTCCTCTCTGGCACCACAGTTCATGTGCTCCTGGCAGACAGAATTGTATAAAATTGAAATCTCCCTTATTCTTCAAGGCTAGCTCAAATGTCTCCTTTTATGAGGCCTGCCCCTGTTCCCATCCGCCCACCAGTACAGTGAACCTCTCCAGCTCCCTTAGCCTTCTCTAGCTGCACCTCCTTTGCCATTTCTCTCTCCATTTTAGAATTATCCACATACACCTCCTTGTTCCCTTTGAGACTGGAGCTCCTAGAGGGCAGGGCTGTGTCTTGGTCACCCCTATAGCTCCAGTGTAAAACATGGTGTCTAATGCTAAGGAAAAATGTCATGTGCATTTGCTGAGTGAACGGAGTAATGAATGCATTAATGAGCCATCTTAAGGGTCTGATTCCATGTCCCTTTAGAAATAAACTAAAAGGATCAAAACATGACTCATTTAGAATAAAGCTAGGGCAATCATGCATTTGGCATTGTTTAAACTTAATGCATTTGTCCTATCTGACTGTGGAATGATTATAAACACACTCTTAGTAATACTCAGACACTAGAAATCCCAAGTAGGATTTATGTTAACAAAGACAATATTGGCCAAAAAAAAGTGGCGCTGAGTTAAACTTCTGGATATGGGGCTGAATGCTATATAGGTAGATCTTCACTACAGAAAGGAAAAATAAGAAAATTTTAAAAAAATGGCAGCAGTCTGACTAATAGATGGTGGGGAAAAGATTTTCCTTTCTTCTTCCCTCCCTCCCTCCCTTCCTTTCTTCTTTCATTCCTTCTGCCTTTCCTCTTCCTTCTTTCCTGTATTCTTTTGTAATCGTTCATCTAAAACCCATTTATTTCATATCCACATGCATCAGGCACTGTCCAAGGCACTTAGAAAACAGTGACAAACGATGGAGTGCTAAAACTATTGAAAGGGATCATTATCTGTTGCTCAAATATGCCAAGCTCTCTCTAGCTTGAAATTATCTCTGTTCCCCTCTACATATACCTGATTAACTCCCACACCTTTCTCAGAGCTCAGCTTGGATGCCTTTCCTCATCTGACCCATCAGATTGGGCCTTCGCTCTCCCCTTGGCTGTTCATGAATCTCCATTCCCTCCCATATCACAACACAATATGTTGCAGTGGTTTTATTTTCCACATCCCTCCCTAGTAACCATAGACTAAAGTTCTTTGAAGTCAAGGACAACATCTGAAATGATCGGCATCAGATACCCAGGGTTTTGCCTAAAATGTGGAATCAATATATCTTTGTTTAAAAGAATAAATAGAATGAATAAATTGATGACTTCCTAAATAATATCAGAGTTTAATGGGTGACCAAAAACTCAAAAAGACAGAGTGTGAGAAGTTGTGTCCTCTGACCGTGCTTGGGTGGGGGGCAGGGCCAAAAAATATTATCTGAGGAGAGGGCACCCAAATAAAGACTTAAAAAAATGGAAGCACTTAATGTGTGCTGGTGCTGGTGGTGGTGTGTTTTGTGTGTGGTGATGTATTTCCCTGCCCTAAATGCACTTCTCTCTTATTTTCACATATTTAGCCCCAGCTCAGCAGATTACAATACAATTGTTGAAATCCAAGTTATTCTTATTACAATTAATTTTCTGAGAACCCCAATCCTAGTTGTTTTAGATTGGATTATCACAGAAGCAGACTCTGAGACAAGGTCTTGAGAAATGACCCCAGGAAATACTGGCAAAGAAGTGAGGAAGTGAGACAGGGAAAGAAAAGCAGCTCTTAAAAGACATGTTATCAAGCAAATTACCAGTCAATCGCTTTTAAATAAACAGCAAACTCATGAGAAAATGTTTTACACATTGCATATTCATTGACTTACTTCATCTCCCACCACTTTTTCGTCCACTGATCTTTGGGAATTTCACCCTTAAAGACCATCCACCTCCACTTTTCTAACATGAAAGTAAACGGTAGAGTTCCAACAATGTTAAGTGCTTGTTTCAGCAGGAAGTTTATCTCTGTTTCTGAAAGTAAAATAGAAAAGGATAAATATTAAGATGAGGATGACAGATGTTTTGTGTTGGATAATTGTCCAATCCCAAAATATTCTTCAAGATATAGTTACCATAAGGATGGTTACATAAGAAATATTGACAGTTGATGTAATAATATGCATATATTCATTTTCTCAGCTAAGGGACTTGGGGTAAAATGAAGTCTTGGATAGGACAGATGAAATAAACTCACAAGTAACCCCTAGTCCTCATTTTTTAAATTAGTTTCAATTGTCTTCCTTGAATATCTATTATCAGAACTTATTGAAGTTACTTTATCGACTTTTACAGTCTTACTGTTTATTTTTGTGAAGTTTTATGAAGGCAGTGACTGGTAATGTTTCATTCAAGACTGTATACCTAGCATGGTGTCTACCACATGATGCCCTCTGTGTTTTTGTTAAATAAACAAATAATAAACAGATGTGGTCAAAAGCCAGCAAACCACACAGTAAAACAAACAAACAAAAAATCAAAAAGAACCTCCATAGAAGAAACAATTTACTGGATAATTGGAAGTACAATGTATTTTAAGTGTACTGACATCTTCCTTACCTGAGTTTAAAATGCTTTAAGAAATTATGGTATTTCACTTATCCTTTATTAGTCATATATAAAGGCAGTAGAGCTCACTCCAGTGTACAAAGAGGGCTCACTGAAATGTAAGCAGGGGATATTCTCTACTTGGCATACCACTCTATCTCTAGTGTCTAGAAATATGCCTTGCACATAGTATGTGCTTAAGAAATATTTTTGGAAGAAGAAAGGGAGAGAAAGAGGGAAGGCAGGAGAGAAAGAACAACGGAACTAATTTAACATCATGTACTAATCAGGGGCAGGGCCAAGAAAAGGAGTTTTCAAACCAGTGGTTTCACCAACCATGTTTAGTACTGTCTTTGTGATTCAACCATCTTTTCCTGCTGTCAAGAATTTTTTTTTAAATTATAAAATAAATAATTGTCTATTAATTGACTTGAGAGTGATATTTTAAAATTAATAAACAGGTGTAGTTATTGTGAACTCCCTTCTCTTTGTTTCTCCCTTTATGGGGGGATGCAGCTATGAGTCTATTACCTACTGAGTCTGCTTACAGTAACTTTTTCAGACATGATGATAGCTTTACACTGACCTACTCCCAAGCTGCTCATGAGCGCAGTAAGGTCTGGAGCCAGAAATCAAGGCAAAGTGAATTGCCCACACAAGAATTGAGCTCATGACCATGACTTCATTGACCAAAACTTCCAACCACCAGAGCTAACATGAGAGGACAGAATACTCAAAAGAGAGAAGCATATTTAGCTTTTAGTGTCCTTTTACAGAGAAGAATCAGAAGTCATGGTATCCTCACTGAAGAATCTACATCTTGTGAACATTTGTTGTGTTCTAGCAAGTCTAGGTCATCCAAAGAGAAACAGGCTACCTCTAGCAAAGTTGTTGAAAAATAGCATGGATCTGAGGGGATGTTATGAGGGCAAATACATGCTTCTGTTGGATTAACAAAACATTTCAGTCCCTTCCAATCTTGGTATTTTACCACCTGTTCTTTTAGAACTCCCAAATTTCAAGGTACCCTTTATTTTGCATAATGTTATAGAAAAAGCTTTAGATTAGAGCCCTCGTTCTGGTTTGGCCATGTTGCTTTTTGACCTTGGGCTGGTTACTTTCCCTCTCTTGTCTTCACTTTGCTTCCTCTGCAAAGTGGTTTTTAGAATCTGTTCCCTCTAACATTTTGGGAAGTTTTTACCTAGAACCAGAGGGATCTAGTCAGAATTCTGACACTAATTAGCTAGGTGATCTTGGATAAGCCATTTCACTTCTGTGGGCCTGTTTAAGCATCATTTAAAAAATCTCCCATTAGATGTTTCTTAGAGTCCCAACATCATTCATTCAGTTATCTCTCTTATGTCCTTTACAAAGATGCAAAACTACAAATTGGCGTGTCATGATAAATACTTAATTTTTTAGCCAGTAGCAATTCCCAGTTACCCATAAATACCTTTATGTGGCAAAAATTAAATATATCCTATGCATGATAATAAATATCTTTGCCCACATCAGACTAAAGAATCTCCAAAACAAGCCATGACAAAAATGTCTGTACCATAGTCTTCAGGATAATTCTGTGCCAGAAGACCCAGGTCTTTCAAATGCTTAGGTGTAGCTGCAGAAAGTGACATGATTTCCCCAACAGCTTCATGGAACCCTTCATTTGCTCCATTTCTTAGTAGGAAGGGTTGTTTGGCATATGCCATGTCATACTGGATGTGTCCCATCTCATGATGAGCTGTAAGGTAGTCGTCCATTGTCACCTTTGTGCACATCTTGATCCTGCGCATAAATGGACAAGATTAAAACAAATTTCATTGAATAATTACAATAGAGTTGTGTGGGATTTTGGTAGCATGAATCATCTTTCCAAAATTCACTCACCAATGAATTGTGAGGACCTACCTTTTAGATCCCAGAAACTATACTAGGTGCTCAGTATAAAGTGATGGGCAGGGCTGAATCTTTTTGTCTTGCTCACAGACTAACAGAAAGAAAGATAAATAGAGTCCTCTACTACAAAAACTCTGAGACAAATACTCTATAAATGATTAGTAGGAATGGCTTTGGGTATAACAATGAGTGAATGCAGGCACAGTCTCCTAGAAACACCAAGAAGGGCATAACTGAGGATGCAATGAGCAATCGGGACCCTGATTTTCCAGGTAGAGGGCAGGGAAGGACAAGAGTTTTAAATTCCTGGAGGAGCTCAGTGAGAAAGACTTAAGAAAAGAATGTGCTCTTCAGGACACTGAGCATTTTGGTATAGCCAGAATAGAGAAGTAACAAGAGAAGGGTCTAGAAATTGACAGTTGGTGATCATTAGCAGTGGATGAAGTCAGGCAGTGGATGTGGTGGTCCATGAAACAGGTATAGGTAGAATGTCAAGAAAAGAGGGCCAAAGACAAAGCTCTAGGAGGTCCCAGCATGTACAGAGTGGGAGACGAAGTTGGTTCAGAGGAGATGGAGAAAGACGTCAAAGAAGTCCAGAAGAGGATGGCAATGCAAAGGCCAATGAAAAATAGCATTTCAAAGACAACTTGTAAATGTTATCTAATGCTGCTGTGGCCCAATGAAATTAGGACTACATTTGGCAGTTAGGTAGTGGTCCTTCTCAACTTGGCAAGGACAATTTCATTCAGATGAATGTGGGGGCATCATATTTCAGTCAGTTCCTAAATTAATTTTCCTACTACTCTGACTGTATCATCTCCCTGATAAATACCCTTTGGACTCCCCAGTGCTTAAGAATGAACTCAACCTCCTTTATATACCCCAACATGACCTGCTTTTCCAACTTGGTTTTTCTCCATCCTTTTTTGAAACAATTATAAGAATAGCTACTATATATGTAATGTCTACTGTATGTAAGATCCTGTGCTATGAAACTTACATACATTTATTTGTAAGCCTCACTCAGTCCTAGAGTCAGTAAACTATGGCCTGCGGCCTACTGCTTGTTTTGATAAATAAGGCTTTATTGACGCACAGCCACATCCATCTGTTTATGTGTTTTCTAGGGCTATTTTCACACCACAAGGGTAGAGCTAAGTAGTTGCAATAGAGACCTGCAATGCCTAAACTATTGGGTTGGCCAAAAAGTCCATTACAGTTTTTCCATAAAATAAAAGACACATTTTTCACTTTCACCAATAACTTGATTGATTTGGATATTTTGAGTTTGTCAGCTATGTTCTGCTATTGGATTCTAGTGGGTAGAGGCCAGGGGTGCTGCTAAACATCTTCCAATGCACAAGACAGCCTCACAGCAGAGAATTAGTTGATCAAAATGTCAATAGTACCCAGAAAATTTCCACTCTTGACATGTTCAATCATTCACAGCACCTTCTCCATACACGGTACGGTTTTTTTGTGTGTGTGTTTCAGTTGCATTTTTACCTTTCTTGAAATAATAAATCATAATACTCCAAAAATGTTGCATATTTTCTTCCATCTTCAATATTAAAATGGCTGCATGAAAATTTACCAATTTTGATAAGTTTTTTCTAATTGCATGCTGATAGGACAGCTGTCACAATACAATCTAACAAAATTGTTTCAGATGAAGTTAAAAACAACTAGGCACTACTAATGCCATCATATGGAAAAAACATAATGGACTCTTTGGCCTGACCATTTGCAGAAAAGGGTTTACTACCTGGCCATTTTTACTACCTGATCATTTACAGAAAATGGTGGCCAACTGCTACTGTACTGGATGGTGCTGGATTCCTGCCCAGATCTACTTTACCAGGCAGATTCACCCATCTCCCAGCTGCCTGAGGTGTATCCCTTAAAGGCCAATAGCTGCTTCCTTCTTCACTATCTTTGGCTAAATGTGAGGTGCCTCAACAGGTAGGTCGCGTTCCCCCCACTCAGGTCATGTTCCCCCAACTCAGGCAGTCCACAGTCAATGACTGACTAATATGGGGGTACCTATTAGTCCGTTGCATACACCTTGTCCCAAGGTGTGACCAACTCTGGTTCAAGTCTTGCTCCAGAGAGCCCTGTGGGATGAGGCTGAGGCAAGTCTTCAGCTGAGACTGCATCCTTACTTAAATCTTTCACCTGCCCCATTCTGCTTCCCTCACTCCCCTTTGCCTGAGAGCTGTCCCACAGTGCAGCACTTGTAAAGAATCTTCATCTCAAGCTGGGGAATCCAACCTAAGATACTCACAAACCTGCAAACTGGGAATTACTATTCCACTTTATAGATAAGGAAACTGAAACCCAGGAAGGTTAAACACCTTGCCCAAGGTTGCCTAGTCATTAAGTGGCACCTGGGATTTGAAACCCTGTGCCCAGTTTGCCCTATCACACAGAACCTTCTTCACAGCCTTTTTTTCTAGTCTAATCTGCTGACTCTGGGACACAGTGCTAGGTCCTGCCTCTCTGCATTTAATCCTGCTATTCTCCCAGCCTAGGGTACTCCTCCCAGCTCTGTCTGGCTGAACACTTCTTGTCTTTCAAGCCCAATTTAAATACTACCTGAAAAGCCCTGTCTGAGCCTACCTGCTATTCCAGGTGTGGTCAGCTGTCTTCCAATTCCCCCCTTGAGCGTTCTCTATTTCTCTTATGATACCACCACTTTCTTTTATCCCAGCTTATTTACCCACCTGTACTGTCTCATCCACATGGAAGGAAGAATCAATGGCTGAATCACACATCCATCTCATATAAATCTTAGCACCAAAACTTTCCTAATGGGGGCACCACCATACCCGTGACTATGCAACTCTAATGGGTGCATATTATTTCAAATGAGTCAAATTGTTCAAAGATTCAAGTTAGGGCCTGCTGACCATCCCCCTTTTCTGGGAAAGCCCAGACGTGCTCTCATGGACTCCCAGCCTTCATTAAAGGGAAGTTCATTCATCTCTTCTGTGCTCAGAGAAGCAGAGAAGGAATTCAAATTCATCCTCTTTCCTTCCTCCATTGACTCCCACTTTAGTATCAGCTTTGTATCAGCCTTGCTACCTGAAGTCATTGTTCCCCAGGTCCCAAGCTGTGGGATGGCAGACCACTTCCCGGCCGTCATCTGGCTTAGTTAGCATGGAGTTATCCCAGAATCCTTGAGTCATATTAAAAAGGCCAACAGACACAAAGAACTTCTCAGCCTCTTTGAATATCTTCTTTGCATCCCAGGACTGGAAAATAAGAACAGCATTTAATTCTAGCATTAAAATAACAGCATTCTCTCTCTTGGATATGTACATACGCATAACCTTTCTGGATGGCAATTGGACAACATGTATGGGCAGTGTTCAAAGTATTTATATTCTTTCTTTTAGTAGTCCTGTCTCTAGAAAACTAACCTAGGAACTTCTCAGAAATTAGGTCAAAGAATTAAATTTAAAATGATTTTTGTTTATTATTGTTTTAATTAATATATATTTGACATATAATATTGTATAAATTTAAGGTGTACAGCATGTAAAATGATTTTTAATAAGAAAAAACAGAAACAACCAGTAGAATGGTTAAATAAATAATGATGACTATGAAATGGAAAATATAATAAATTAACAAGTGAAAAGTAGAATATGTAAACCACTTATATAGTATATAATCTTAATGAGAAAATGCATGAAAATATTCACAGACTAGGTAACATTATGTGTGATGGGCTTTTTGTCTTTATTCTTTATATTCCAAGTATAAGCATAAACAACAATAACCTCTTTGCTAAAAGCTATTTAATGCAAGCCAACAATTACTGAGTGAGCTCCTTCAAGGAGTAAGGCCCTGATGCTAGGTTCAATGGGTGGAAGATGCAAACATTAACATGAACATGAAGTCATAGGCTTTTGGAACCAAAAAGGCCGACATGTGACCCAATAGCCAATGTGTAGTTGGGCCTTGACTTCATAGACTTTATGGAATCTAAACTTCAGAATATTCTGGAAGCAGAGAGAGGCAGCAGGAGATGTTTCCCACCCAGCAAACTGTTCTGCCAGCCAGTGTCCCTGGAGCTGACATTTATTTGGAGATAAGGCCTATATCAGGCAAACTAAGTTTGTGTAGCTGACATATACTTCATGAGTCACTTCTGGTAACATAGAAAATGTCTTCTGATCTTGAAGACCAGTAAAGTCTGGAGCCCTGGGGATATTAAACAGGATATGACACGATGGCTTTTTAAAAGTATTGACGTATAAAGGCTTAATGTCAGGCAATATTGGTATTAATGAGTATGCCTTTCTTGAGCAAAATGAATGTATACCAAAACAGTGTAGACTATTAAGAACAGTTAACGTCTGTTAAATAAACAATGAATGAATAGAAAACCACACTGGAAATACTAGAAGTTCCAAGTTCAAAGCTTTGTAGCCGCTGACTGTCTTTGTGACTTAGGCAAGTTGTTCACCTGAGCCTCAGTTTTCTCACCTACAACACGGAACTATCACAGTACCTGTCCTGATCGCCTCATAGGTTTATTACAGAAATAACATTAGGAGATATGGTGGGTATAAAAATACTGTAGATTGGCTAAGGGGGAGGTATAAAGATGGGCTTCTGCTGCTACTCAACTAAAAAATGGAGTTAGAACAGCTGCAGGAGTCTGGAGACCCTTAGAGCTCCATGTTTTTATTCAGCTGTGGACTCTTTGCAGGAATATGTTATATATGTGAAGATGTTCATTGCATGACTGCTTACAGATTTAAAACTGTTAACAAGCAAAAAAGTCCAGCAATGCCTAAAATTTAAAGTAAATTATGATGCAACTGTCTGAAAAAATTGTATACAGCCAATAGAGGTGTGACTGTGAATTCTACCCAGAAATGTAGGCTATTACCTAAATTTAAAAATATACAATTATAACTTTTATAAAACTTCATAATTATCTAAAAGTATATAATGATAACCGATTTCATCAATAGAAGGGACCAGAAAGAATTTAAACAATTACACCAAGATGGCAACATAAAGGTGATTTAAAAATTATTTTAAAGATTTTCATAATATTTTTAACAATAAGGCATGGATACATGGAACAGACTGATAGTTGACAGAGGGTTGGAGGAAGGGGATACTGAATGAAAGAAGGGGAAGAGATTAGCCAAAGAACATCTATGCATATTCTGTAACACAGAGAACAGTGTAGTGGTCGCCAGAGGGAAGGAGGAGTGGAGAATGGGTGGAGGTGGGCAAGGGGTTGGGGGGCATGGGAACATCTGTAATAGTGCTAACAATAAAAATAAAGTTAAAATTTAAAAAATTAAAAACAATACTAATTATTAAATATGCAAAAATCTTCTAATGATATTCTTGTTTTCATTATTTATAGAGATTACTGACTGATTACTTAGCAAGGACTAACTTTGGAAAGAATGAGGCAAACCAATTGATAATTGCACATCTTACTGCCTAATGGAAAGCTCAGATCATCTCCATTTTTAATATCTCTCAGTAAGATCAATATCCTAGCGGTTATTCAAGGCACTTGATGTCATTGACATTGTAAACCACTTTTCCATGAAGAGATAGCTACATAAGAAATAAATTTAAATTATCTTGAGATTTTTATTTATATGGTTTCATATACTACAGATGGGAAGAGAAAGATGGCCTATAAAGAAATGAAGTTGAGAATTTAGATTTGCTTTTTAAGGTCTCTTCTTCCTACCTGCTCAACCATTGCAGCAGTAACATCTATGGTTGGTTTCTCTCCATAGGGGACTGTCAAATCATACAGATTTGTCCAAAATCTACCCCACATATCACCTATTAAAAAAACATTTTGTTAATACATGACAAAGACAGCAGAAGTATAGACCGGATATTTACATAGCGCAGGAGGTGAGATTGGTAAACAGGCCACATAGTAGTTTAGATTTAATCTAGTTTCTGCACTACCTTTTCACTATTTCTTTTTTTCTTCTCTTATTTTAACTTTTCAATACTCCCTTCTTTTTCTATCTCCTCTAAAAGTTTAAAATGGCAGATTATGTGGTTAGGCAAAACTTACTAGGGAATAATCCTAGTTTCTCTCTTTTAAAACTGAAGTTCAAAGGCACAATTTATTAAATATATGGAACATCATAGATACTATAGATTAGAAACATGTCGATATAATCCATTATCCAAGGGACAAAATACTACGAATTAAACTATTGGTAATCCCTAATGTTGGATTCAAGAGAGATCATATAGGATCATCATTCAGGAATCTCTAACTTAGTGACTTTCACTTTTGTTATTATATATAGTAGTACACTTAACTGGGTAACTTTTTAAACATCTCAAATAAATGTTAAATTGGATTTCAAGGCCAGAGACCCTAAAAGGAAAGATGGATCCAGAAAAAGTCAATTTAATAGCAGGACAAGAATCCTGACACCAAAGAAACTAGACAATATAACTAAATAAAGAATACTCCAATGAACTCATGCTTTAAAGAAAAGTCTATCTATCCGCTATAGAAATATGTGATATGTGACATCAGGTTGAAATATAGTCCACATGCAAAAGACCAAAAAGGACCTAACAAACAGTATGGCATGGCTTCCAAAACCCAAATGTGACCTTTACATAAATGAATATAGTGTCTAGAACAAAGGAAACCATAGTACCATTTTTACTCTATGTTGATCAAACCTCATCTAGAATAACTTCAGTTTTGGGCATGATGTTTGAAGAAGGACATCAACAGAAGATAGCTTGTCCAAAGGAGAACAATTAGAAAAGTGACATTTTAAAGAATGGTTAAAAATCTGGGTAGGATATTTAACTTAAAATAAGAAAACAGTATATACATGATAACAATAATACTCACTAAAATATATTTAATACATATTCTTGTGCCAGGTACTATGTTATGTCTTCTATGGTGGTTGTTTATAAATATCTGGAAGGCCATCTTGTAAAAGAATGGATATACCCAGTGTAACCTCATAACAGAATTAGGCATAGTGAATGGAAGGCATTAGAGGGGTGTTGATTCAGTTCCACGCAAGGTAGAGCTTTCTTATAATCAGTGCCGTGAGGCAACAGAATAGTTTACCTTGGAAGGAAGGAAAAGCCACATCATACCAGGAAGGTTTAAACAGAAAATGAATTACTGAAGAATGCCTGCCAAAGACATTGTAGAGTGTATTTATATATGGCTTTAAAGTAAAAATTCTCCACAAGTCCTTTGTCCATATTTTCTCCTGCTGAAAGGAGCTTGGCCTTGGACAAGAATTAGCTTCCAGTAACTTAGCTTAACTGTAGTAGGAATGTTATGTATACATGACATGAATTTTTCAAACACATATATTTTATTTGGTCTCAGCTTCTGGAGTGATAGAGAGGGAAGTGGAGGATAGCCACTCTCTAGAAGGGAATTAGGAGGTTCAATAAAGGTCCCCAGGTCTTGCATGGTTTACAAAGGCCCTGTGGCACAATCCAAAATTCTTGGAAGATTGATTTTCCTCCTAAGTTAGGCATCTTTCTTCATGATGAAGACTCCATTCATTACTCATATGATTCCAAACCAAGTGCTTTCCAGCAAAAGTAATTGCTACAGTTTAGAATTTATGAAGCTTTAACTTAGGCTATACCTTAATTCTAGTCCTTTCTCTCATGGCTGACTACCTCTAGCCTGTCAAGCTTCTTTTCTCTGACAATATGATACTAAAATCTCAAATTCCAACTCAAGAACTTAGACAAACAATCTGAAGAGTATGACATTTTCCCCCATTTCCTCTGTCATTTGAACTTGGAGTTTTTTCTCTAGCTATCTTAAATAATCTGTTTATCCTTTGGATTGTAACCAACATAATAACCTGTTGTGTACAAAACAAAGTAATGCAAAAGAAAACGATTTAAATTTTTCTATTGAAGACAGTGCTTTCAAAATGTGATTTCTATAATGTTACTAATTCCAGTCACAGAATTTTTCAAAAATTTTATGTTGAGCTTCATTCCCAAAAAACAACTTTATTGGTGGAAATAACATAGAGCAAAGTACACAAAAAATTTGTGGAGTTTTTTACCAAGCAAATGAGCAGGGAGGCATCCAGTTGGACTGATACGGGAAGGGTAGGCATCCATCAACTTTGTCCTCACATAAGCATGAAGATGTTCATATAATGGTGTAATCTGAAAAGACCAGGAAGGAAGTTTAAGACCAAAAGAAGTCTGCCCCTACTTCCAATCCTTAACACTAAAAATAGAAACTCCTTTAGACAACTAGAATTTTGCTAAATTCTAATTCCTTTTCCTCTCAAATGTTCTGGATACTTTGAAAGCATTCCTTCTTTCCAGATGTTGATGATAATTAGCTCCACTGCATAAAACAATAAATACACTTGGAAGAATACAGGTCCCAAAATGAAAGCAGATGCAAAAATATTCATTTCTAAGATGCTACCTACTCCCTTTGTTTTAAAATTGAAATATCACTTACATACCATAAAATTCACCCATCTTTAAATGTATAGTTTAATGAGTTTTAGTACATTTATATTGTTGGGCAACCATTACCACCATACAGTTTTATAACTTTTCCTTACTCCTGAAAGTTTCCTTGTGCCCATTTGCAGTCTGTTCTACACCCACTCTCAACCCCAGGCAATCACTGATTTCAGTCTCTATAATTTTTCTTATTCTGGACATTTCATATAAATGAAACCATACACTCTGTGACCTTTTGTGTCTGGCTTCTTTCACTTAGTATAATGTTTTTTTAGGTTTATTCACATTACTCCATGTGTCAATACTTTATTCCTTTTTATTGCTGAGTAGCATTTCATTGTATGAATACATCAGAGTTTGCTTCATTTAATATCTCATGGATAAAATTCACCATCTGTTTCCAATTTGGGGCTCTTTTGAATAATGCTTCCATGAACCTTCATGCATAAGCCTTTGTATGGATATACCTTTTAATTTCTCTCATACAGATACCTAAGAGTAGAATACTTTAGTCATATGGTGTGTTCAACTTTTAAGAAATTGTCAAACTATTTTTCAAAGTGGCTGTACCATTTGACATTTCTGTCAGCAGTGTATAAGGGCCCAAGTATCTCCATATCCTCACCAACACTTGGTATTTTCAGTTTTTTTAAATCATAGATATTCTGGCGTTTTTTAATTGAATTTATTGGAGTAACATTGGTTAATAAAAGTATATAGGTTCCAAGGGTACAATTCTATAACACATCATCTGTATATTGTATTATGTGTTCACCACCCCATGTCAAGTCTCCTTCCATCACCATTTATCCCCCCTTTACCCTCTTCTACCTCCCTTCACCACCCACTTGCCCTCCAGTAATCACCATACTGTTGTCTGTGTCTATGACTTTTTTGTTTTTGCTTAATCCCTTCCCCTTTTTCACCCAGCCTCCCTATCCTCTCCCCTCAGACAGCTCTCAGTCTGTTCTCTGTATCTATAATCATGGTTTTAATTTGAATTTCCCTAATAATGCTTTACTTGCTTATTTGCCATTTCTTTGATGAGGTTCTTATTCAAATTTTTTGCCCATTTCCCTTTTTTTTGGGGGGGGGTATTTGTCTTGCTTCCATTTTTTATAGCTCTGCCCAAAACTATGTCTGTGACAGAGTAGCCACACATAAGAAATTTGAAGGCACAGATAAGGGGGGAGATATAGGGACAAAAATGAAAGGAGATAGAGACATTAAGAAGTGCCCATGGGGCACTTTTACTAATAGGACCCTCCCTTTCCTATAAAGGCTTCCTTAGTCAAACATAAAGAAAGAGTAATATCAATTGTCCTGAGGAAGGAAGCAAAACCAATGGCTCTGCTAACAAAGGAAGACAGTGTCAGCCCCAGGTAGCTCACCAAGACCATTCCTTTTTAAAATCTAAAAGATCATTCCTGCCTATAATCTTTCCTTCTTACAATCTTGCTGTTGGTCATTGCTGGTTAGTGGCTGAAAGGGGGAGGAGAGTTGAGCAATTCTGATAATCCGTAGGAGTTGCCCTTCTGGTTTTAAAGATCTTTTTAAGCTCTGATATTCCATAACTATGAGTCCTGGGAATGGCTGACCAGTGTGCTAAGAACAAGCCAGAATGCCTTTGTTCACTGTCCTTTTTTTACGTGCACTGTGCTACATCTGTCTCTAGGTACAATTCCTTGGTTACCTCTTCAAAAGTACGTTCCACATCGGCAGCCAACTGGTTGCGGCTGTATGCATAGTCATCTTCCCCATCTATTTCATAATCTCCTCTCCAATAATCCCCATAGTCCTCGTAATCTGTTTTTAAAAAGAAGAAAGAGAAGAACATAAGGGAAAGAAAGAGTTTAAGCACAGTATACTTAGATTAGCCTTGCCTGGAAGTTAAGAAAAAATCCAAACATCTGTCACTTGTTTATTGCCCTTCTAAGTATCACCTCAAAGGAATGCAAATGAATAGTAACACCAGCTAATATCTGTTAAACATTTGCTGTGTGCCAGAAATTTAAATGCATTGTCTCATCTAATAAACTCAAACACTACAAGATTGACACTGTGCAGATTAACAGGCTGATTTTAGATGGTTAAATCACTTGTCCAAAGTCACACAACTGGTAAGACACAAAGGCATACTCCTAGTCTCCTAACCCTGGATCTCTTTACTCTCGCCATAGGTCAGTTGGAATATTTTGCTTTAAAACATGTGGTTGGATCTGAGTTTTGGAACTGCCTTTTGATCCAGTGATTCCCCTGCTGGGATTATACCCTAAGAATCCCAAAATGCCAATTCCAAAGAACCTATGCACCCAGTGTTCATAGCAGCACAATTTACAGTAGCCAAGTGTTGGAAGCAACTTAAATGCCCATCAGTAGATGATTGGATCAAAAAAACTATGGTACATTTACACAATGGAATATTACACAGCAGAAAGAAAAAAGAACTACTACACTTCACAACAGCATGGATGGAACTGGAGAGCATCATGCTAAGCGAAATAAGCCAGGGGGTGAAAGACAAATACCATATGATCTCACCTATAAGCGGAACCTAACCAACAAAACAAAGATGCAAGGAAAATAAGACCAGCAACACTGAAAGAAAAAAAGAAACCAACAGAGACAAGAGGGAAGGAAGGAGGGGTGGATGGGGAAAAAGGAAGGGAAGAGGCAAGTCAAGGAACATATAGCAGGGACTCATGGACAAATCCAAAGTGGGGAAGGACTGAGGGAGGGAGAGGGGGGAGGGGGGCAGGGGAAAGTGGTGGGGGGAAGGCAGAGAGAAATGTATTTGGAAAAATAAATAAATTAATTTTAAACATGTCAAATATATTTAAAAAGTCTCATTTTATTCAAGGTCTTAAATTTTCAATTTCAACCCAACTCATCTTAGACATGGCCACAGTGGGCATGTGTTTATTTGCAAATCATATGTATATACAGTACATTTCTGTGTGTTTCATGTAGTATTCACTCGTCAGGAAACATGAGCTTGTGTTAAGGGTATTAGCTAATAGAGTTTGCAAATGTATATTAATAATTTCTATTTTTATAGACACATTGGCAATGGGTGATCATGAAGATGAGGAGAGAAGTAAATATTTGGATGCGAGGATATGGTGAAGAGCTACTGTCTCCAGCTTACCTACAGCTAGAGAATACAAATTTAAGTGGCCGTGAAAGATATTTAGAAATAACAAATGAAAAAAAATTCTTCCTCGCTCAACCCCGGGAGGCAGTGAATCATCAAAGCATAAAGTTATTCATAATGCTGTGGCTCAAGCTCATTACTCAGGCAGGAGAGTAAGTTGAGAGATATGAAAATTTCTCCTCATGTTAACATTTTTATGACCACATGATGAGTTATGATTACAACTGCAGAAAATAATGGGTTTCCAGTCTAAATTAACTTGATATTTTTTCTTTCTGTGGCACCACCCTGAGGTAAACACACAAATCACCTTTGAGAATGAACTGTAGCTAGATGGGAGTTTAGGTGAGTGATGGTGTTTCTGTCTCTCATTCTTTCTAAGAAATAGAATCCCTACTCAGTCCCAAGACAACCCCAAGAACTTCAGGGGCCTGAGACCTTCCCAGACAACTGATTTGTTTGAGGCCCTGTAGCTGAGTCACACTCCTGAGTTCTTTAAACTGTAGAATGTCAATTCACTTTTCCTTATTCCCTGGTAGTTTTTCTGAGACAGGCAACATGAATTGTTCAACAGATGATCATTAATTTAGGGATGTAGTTTGTATCAAAGGGCAGCCTTAGTGATTCATGAGAAATAGCCCCACAGCCCCAAAGAGAACTTCAGGACCTCTACAGACCAGCAAACTTACTCTTTTCTCTTGCCATCTCATTTTTCAGGTCCACATACTCTTCATATAATGGCCTCATCTGCTTGCCGACCTGAGACCTCCAGCCTTCCCAAGCCCAGAGCCTTTCATCATAGTCCTTGCTGTACTGCATTATGTCCTCCAAGCCTGCTATTGCAAACCACCCGAAGGGAAAGAGACATGCATTTGTAAAATTTTTATGTGTAAACAATTACATGAACTTTCAAGAATTAAGAGTAAGACTGGCAGACATCAAGGTCACAAAGTTATAAAATGAAATCCATAGTTCATTAATTTCTTCATCCTTATTATAGTTCCAAAATATTTTTCAAAGAAAAGAAACCACTAACATCATTTAACTACTAACTTAATCTAAAAATTCGAATGTGGCAGACTTTACAAATGTCATTTTGTTAAATGGTAAAAGTTTATCTATGTACTGAAACACATATTTGGAATCTTCTCATCTTTGGATTATCCATTTGAAAGACACAATGTCGTTATCTAACATCCATTTCATTTTTAAAACTTGGAATAAAAAAGTGAATTTCATAATCACTGTTCAAAATTAATAGCTTACCTGTTGCAAGTAATAAGCACTCCTGTGGGTTATTAGGTTTACAAACTTTTCCAGTACTGTAGATGGTGCTCATTGTATTTAGAATTTTATTCAACTGCAACTTAAAGATAATAAACACCGTTAAAATGGAAAATATGCTAAAGAAAATGCTAATGTCCTTTTGGCCATGTAATTTTTTTATGCCTCGAAATATAACAGTTCACATCTTCTTTACCAAATATCTTCCGTTATGCAGGGCAGAAAGAGCTCAATTAAATCTCCCCACTGCCAACTAGTATGGAGCCTTATAAACATGTAATAAATATATGTGGAGTGACTGAAATAAATAGATCTACTAAAATCCCCAAACCATTTCTCACCTACGCATGCACAGAGAAGTGCAATTGTTTTTTTATTCAGTATTGACTGTACATTTATTGAACATCTATTATGTCCTACATTCTGACAATTGTAACATGAACAAGTCACTGGTCCTCAACAACCCCACAGTCATGGGACAGTGAGTCAGCCATGACATCAATAATTACATAACAGAGTGACAAGGGCTATAACTGTCACCAAAAAGTAATGTGGTAGTATGGAGAAAAGTGGGTAAATTAATAAACTGAAAATTCAGGAATGGCTTCAAAGAGGAGGGGACATTAGAGCTGTGTTTTGGAAGAGAAGCAGAAATTGGTGAGGCAGAAAAGAGAGATGGAGGGCAGTGCCTAAAGTGCTGATTGAGGGGTGTGGAGGATGTGGGAATGGAGAGGTAAGCAGGGGCCAGATCATAAGGGACCTTCTATGCCATACTGAAAAGTTTAAACTTTACCCTGTAGGTAGAGTTTAAAAGACCAAGACAATAAAGTAGTTACTACTCAAGTATGGTCCATGGATCAGTGCAAGCCAGTAAATGACTTGAGAGAATAAATGTTTATAAACTTTAAAGCCATTTAACATTTCCATGACATCTAGGCATGAGATCTTAACCAAGGATTGATCTGTGATGGATTGGTAATAAAGAAGAAAAGGAGAAAGGGAGGAAGGGAGGATGGGAGGGAGGACTTATTCCTCTCCCATAGATGATTTAAGAAACACCAGATGAAAGGTCCTATTTCCCCTTTTCCAACTTCCCTCTTCCATCATTCTTTCACTCTGCTACAAGAGTCATTATCCTAAAACATAAAATAGATTCCATGTTTAAAACTTCAGCAACATCCCATAATGCAAAGGAATCAGCCCATGGCACAAAGCCCCTCATGGTCTCCTTCTCTACATGCTTTTTCAATTCCCCCCTTCTTTCTCCCCACTGAATTCATGAATTTTTGAGTCTCCCTGTTCCCAAACACTTCAAGTTTGTACATTCATTTCAGTGGTATTCAGTCCTGGCTGCATATTAGAATTATCTAGGATCTTTTAAAAGCACAATGTTCATGTTCCACCTACCCCAGACCAAGGCAATGGGCAAAGTTTCACATGGTGTCTTTGTGGGAAAGACGAGGAAGCATGAAATGGATAAGATAATGTGGATTAATAACTAGTTAGATGACTAGATCCAAAGAATGCAGAAAAATAAATATCAACTTGTAGGAAGATATAGACCATATGGTTTCATCTTTCTTCTTATCATGCATTTTTTCTTTATAGATGTAGATTAGAAAACAGAGTTCCAGAGGATAAGCAACTAAGAAAGAAGGCTTTGATGTTAAATAGCCAGATATTTTAAAAGTTTTATTTATTTATTTTTAGAGGGAGGGGAAGGGAGGGAGAAGGAGAGGGAGAGAAACAGCAATGTGGGAGAGAAACATCAAGCAGCTACCTTTCACACGCCCCCAGCTGGAGACCTGGGGACTATTTTAGATTAAAATATTTCATTAGATTAGTTCAAGGGTCTGTAAACTATGATCTGTAGGCCAAATTCTGTTGCTTCCTATTTTTTAAAAGTTTTATTGGAACATAGCTGATTTCCCATCACAACAGCAGAATTGACTCATTGTGACAGAGACAATATGTCCCACAAAACCTAAAATATTTGCTATCTTTACCTTTACAGAAAACAGTTTGTTAACTCCTAGGCTAGAGAGATGGAATGAGAAATGTCATTTTAACAGAGGCGAATATAGGCTTTCTTGAATTTGGATAAACGAGCTACCTAAGAATAGAATTTGAAAATGGATCACTTCATAGCAACATTAAGAGACTTCATTAACAGTGACATTGATACGAGCCAACCATGAACTTGACTGTTGCACACACACACACACACACACACAAAAACAACCAAACAACAAAAGCTAATATAGGTCTAGACTGTCTTAGTAGATGTAGAGCACAGAGTGCACAATGTCACATTGCTGCTTCTCCATGCAGACCAGAAGCAACTCAGAGTACTGTATTCAGTTCAAGGATATGGACAAAGTGAAAACAGTAGCTAAGACTGGTTAGTGGACTCAAAACCATTGTATAGGGGAAAATTGACAAAGTAAAGAATTCATTAAAGACTATTATAGGAAAGAGCAATTTGGCTTTAGAAGGTGGAGCAAAGTGGACGTAAAGCACTTACCATTCAATGGAGGGAGTACCTTTCCATCAGTTAGAGGAACCCATCTATGGAACTGATATCTTAGAAAGAGATGAATCACCCGTCCCTAAAGCAGTTTGAGCTGAAGTTGTTAGCCACTTGTTAAAGAGGTTGCAGAGGAGAGTCAGGAATGAAAGGGAGGAAGAATTAAACGAGCCTTCACAAGCTTGGCACTGACATTTTGGACCAGATAATTCTTGTTGTTGGGGCTATCTTGTGCACTGTAGAATGTTTACTAGCATTCTTACCCACTAGGTGCCAATAGCACCCCTCTTAAGTTGTGATCACAAAAATGTCTCCAGACATTGTTAAGTGTCCCTGGGAGGCAAAATCACCTCCAGTTGAGAACCATGGACATAGACTAGGTGTATTCTTCAGGCAGCCTGGTCCTCAGGAAGGTGACTTCTGTAGAGGGTGTCCATTTACACTACAGTGCCCAGATAATCCCAGTTTAACTCTGTGCCACTAACATAATTACTATGTGTCTTCTTTCACTCTCAAAAGGATTCTAGTTTGGATGACAAATTATGTGGTCACCCCACCTAAGGCCAAAGCTCTTTTTAATGTCAGCATACCACTCTTTGCAGGTAAAGGAAGTAGCCTTGGGCGATATTGATGTTTAACATTCCCCAATATTTCAACTCTTGGGATCTGTACTAGAATGTTCACATACCCGTTTGTTCTCATCTTCTGATAACCCATTTTGCTGAAGGGCCTGCAATTGACGCTTGACTTTATCACTCGATATTTGCTTTAGTTCAAATTTTTTGGCAAGCTTGGTCATGTTTTCATAAAAGGTAGACCACTCCTGATTGGCCTCATTCTGAAATGACAAAAAATAAAATTAAAGTCAGAACGACACTGCTTGAACAGATAGGACAGAAGATATGGTCCAAAGAACATCTGGTGGGACATCTAATATTTCCTAAGTGGTTTAGTTCTCTACTTTGCTGAAGGTCAAGGCTTAGGTTAAGAGTGACCAGGCCACTCTTGGTCACTCTCTCTGTCTGGCCCAGTGCCTAGTTTTCCCAAGGGTCCTGTTCTCAGAACTGGAAGTGAATTCTCACAGATGATTCACATTTTAGAGCTCTGGAATTTATTGCCTTAGCACTGAGACATGGGTGAGTTGATCAGGAATTGAGGATGAATGTTCCAAAGGGAGAGCCTAATAGCACTCAGCATGGACTTAGTGGGAATACAACCCCTCATGACTATGGAAACCATGGGAAATGAGCACCAGTTTGCAGTAAACTCCAAGACTTGCTATGTCTTACCAGAGATTGTGATCTTAAATTATGTTCCCCGAAGAAGGTTGCCCAGAATATGGCTATTTGGTAGCTATGGTGATTTTTTTTTACCATCAAAAGAAATCAACAAGCAGGTATTAATGCCAGAACTCACTTGTGCCCCATCTTGAACATCAGCATGCAAGTAGACTCCTCTAGACTTCTCTAGTACAGTCTTCCCTCAATGCACAAAGTTTCATTTATCAAAGGCTAAAATGAGCAACTACTTTGTACATTGTACTTCTCTAGACCATATAAAAGAGGTAGCTTTTGAGGCAAGTAAGAGCCCCATTCCTGGAGTCAGATACCTCCATCTAGCCGTGTGACCTTGGGCAAATTACTTAGCCCCTCTGAGCTGCAGTTACCTTATCTGTAAAATGAGAGTAATAATAGAACTTACTTCAAAGGGATGTTTTAAGGATAAGAAGAATGAACAAATAAGAAAATGTTTATTAGGGTGCCCAATGAAGCTTTGCATTCAAATATTTTCTATTTTTTATTTGTAGAAAAAATCCCTGTCCTTAAGTTTCTGGCAGTTTTATCAGACAGATAAGATATGCATCATGAATGTTTCATTAGTGACACACAGCAGCATATGATAATGTAGAAACTATGAGTAAGCCAAGCAGTTTCTGTTATAAGAAAAGAGAGATTCATTCAGACAAGTAGATTTAGCCAATCCCTCATGGAGAAAGTGGGACCTAAGACAGACCTTAAAGTAGGTAGGAGATGGATGTGTGTAGAGCTCTCTGCAAAATCCTTTACCTCATTTGATCTTCTTAAGAACCCCATGAGATAAAAAATCATTCTGTCTCCATTTTTCATATGTGCATTAAGGGGCTGAGAGAAATAAATAGCGGAGCTGGAATCAACTGCCAGCATCTGGATCTTGGATCTTGTGTGGACAGACTCTAAGATGACTCCCACAACCCCTACTTTTTATTGGTATATATTTGTGAGATCTCCTCCCCGTGAATGTGAACAGGACCCACTTATAACCAGTAAAATATACCAAAGAAGATAGGATGTACATGTTTATGTTATATAAGACTGTAATTTTTATCTTGCTGGAGGACTCTGTCTCCCATGCTGACTTTGATGCAACAAGATGCCATGTTGTGAGCTACCCTGTGGAAACAGCCACTCAGCAAGGAATTGAGGATGGCTTTTGGTTGACATCCTGCAAGAAACTAAGGACCTCAGTACAGTAGCATATAGGGATCTGAATGCTACCACTAACCACATTAGCTTGGAAGTAGATTCATCCCCTGTCAAGCCTCAGGTGAGACCACAGCTCTAGCCAGGATCTTGATTGCAACTAGAGACTCAGAAGCAGGAGATATAGCTAAGTTTGGACTCCTGATCCACAGAAGCTGTGAGTTAATAAATGTGTGTTGCTTTAAGCTGCTAAGCTTCTGGTAATTTTTTTTTTACAGAATAAATAACTAGTACAGGTTATAGGCATCACTGTACTTTCCAGGCCAAGGAATTTTACCTTTACTTTGTGAATGCTAGGGAGTCACTTAGGGGTTCTAAGCAGACAGGTGACAAGATGGAAGTTGTGCATAAAGTAAAAACAATGGATCAGAAAAAGAAATGAAGAGAATAGTGGCAGTAGAGGTGAAAAATGATTTCTCTCTCTTTTAAAAAAGATTTTATTTATTTATTTATTTTTAGAGGAGAAGGGATGGAGAAAGAGAGGGACAGAAACATTGATGTGAAAGAGTAACATCAATCAGTTGCCTCTGAACCTGCAACCCAGGCATGTGCCCTGATGGGGAATCAAACTGGTGACATTTTGCTTTGCATGACAATGCCCAATCAACAGAGCCACACTGGTCAGGGCTGATTTCTCTCTTTATTGAGCTCACACAACCCCTCAGGAACTACTTCTCAATTCATCTTCACAAACAATATTTTGAGGTAGTTCTAATTATCTCCATTTCACAAATGAAGCACAGAGGGAGTAAGTGACTTTCCCCAGGTCACACAGCTAGTAATTGAAAGAATCAGGGTGTCAACTCTGATATATTTACCTCCAAAGCTAATGCTCTCTAACCATTGACTATAGATTGTATTTGACACATTCTAGCTTTCTAACATGCATGAGTTGGAAGGAGTGAGCTATAGAAAGAAGAATTTTTTCTACAGCACAAACTCATCTATGCAATCTTTACCCTTATTCACCCAATCCAGGATGATTTACTATTAAGCAAAATTCCTGGTAAAATTTTCATAACAAATTATAGGAATGATTTTATTCTCAATCTACTTTGGAAACAATTCATAATCTTCAAAATGTATCAGTCTGATAACATCTTTTATTATATTGCATATGGAAACTTTGAAGATATCTGCTTTATTTTATCACTACCATACTACAAGTGTTGCACTTTAATTCATAAAAAAATTACATTATGTTGCCTTGAATTTTGACCCCTGAGGACATACTGTTCCATCCCAAGATATTCTTTTTTCCAGAGCTCTGGGAACCTTAACCATCTTTTGATTAATTTCTTGGCTCAATATTCCTGCATCATGCTAGTAGTATAAATTCAACTTCCACACCTATTAAATAACTCACAGGTGAGACTTGAATCTGATAAAGTATCTACATGAGGATTCTACCCACCATCCATTTTGCAAATAAAGTTTTATTGGAACATAGTCATACCCATTTATATGCCGCCTATGGCTGCTTTCACACTACAATGGCAGAGTTGAATAGAGGTGGAAGGGCCCACAAAGCCTGAAATATTTACTATCTGGTCTATTACGGAAAAATTGTTCTGACCTCTGCCTTAGATCTATACATTTTCAGGGAATACAGGGGACAAAAGAGCATGTAAAGCAAAATTAAGGGAGCACAATCGACAAATCTTGAAAGTGGGAGTTTCTATAGGGCCAGCAATTCAATCTCTCCACAAATGAATTACAAAAGAGAGAGAGAGAGAGAGAGGGAGAGACAGCAAGAGAGAGGGATGGACTCTATTAATTAAAAGAGGCTTAGAGTACATCCATCAAAATTATTGAAAGGAGAGGACCTTGCTAGATTTTGATTCAAATAAACTAGCTGAAAATTTTTTAATGAGACAGCAGGGTGCATTTGAATATTGGTGAGCTATTTGATGATACTGCAGAATGATTATTGAGTTTTTGGTATGGTACTGATATTGAGATGATTGTAAAAATTCTTACTTTGAAAGTCATAAGGTGAAACATTTACACATAAAGCTACATGATGTTTGGGGAGAAAAATAAAACAAGATGGGCCAAAGTGCTGACTGACAATTGGTGAAGCTGGATGATGAGTATAAGGAGATTCAATATACTAGACTTTCTTCCTTTACATGTTTCAAAATTTTTATGATGAAAAGTAAAGAAAAATTCATACAATGGAATGCTATTTGGCAATTAAAAGGAACAAAGTAATGCTACAACATGCAAAGTAAAAGAAGCCAGTCACAAAGACCATCTATTGTATGATTCCATTGATAGAAAATGCTCAGAGTAGGCAAATCTGTAGGCAGAAAGTAGATTAGTGGTTGCTTAGGGCTGGGGATAGGAGAAAGAATGATTGCTACTGGGCAGGTGGTTTCTTTTTGGAGTGACAAAAATATTCTAAAATTAGATAGTGGTAATGATGGTACAATTCTGTAAATATACTTAAAAAACACTCAGTCGTATGCTTCAAATTGGTTAATGCTATGGTACATAAGTTATATCTTAATAAAGCTATTGTTTAAAGCCTGCAATAGTAAATGCAAAGAAAAAAATCACCTCATTCCCGAAGTCCTATAACAAGGTCTTAACTCCCCATGGGAGTGATTTAAACCAAAGAATTTAGCCCAATTAATGTAATGCTCTTTCATCCAGTTACCTAGCACACACTAAGAAGCAGCGGCAGTCTCTGACCCCCAGACTACCCTTCCTCCGTGTACCTGGTGGTAGCCTGGCATCCTGTCAGAGTGCTTAGACCAGTGAATAATTGTGCCAAATTTGGATGTATTTAAACATGTCATTTTGAGTTGCTCAAGCTTAATTTCACCAAAATTACTTCATTAAACTGGGACATTGCCAAGTTTTCATGACAAAAGGAAACATATGAACAAGGCCTCTGATACACTTGATCCAGGTTAATTGTCTACATGAGGAAGTTACTCATCCACAATTGTTCTCTACTGAAAATCTTAGCTGTGTCCACCTATATCCTTATATTTCAAGAGACAAAGAAATAAGTGATTTTTCCAAGGCATCACAGCCAACTCAGAAGAGTCATGAGAATATTGGATTTTCTGAATTCCATTGTATTTCCAGCACAGTGATCTTTCTTTACCCTCTACCTGTGTGTAGGTATTCGTGTGTGTCAGGGAGGGTGGGACATACTCATTGGAGAGGGATAAAGTCTACATTCTTCCCTTGGGTCCATAATAGCAGTTCAAAATTACTTTGTTCTGAGTTCACTGTGATGCCAGCCCGAAAGGCAGAGGAAAAGTATGCCCCAGGACTCTAGGGCATGCCAGAAACAAAGATCTGAAGAAGCTCTAGAGAGAACCCAAAAGGTTAAGTGTTGGCCTCCTGCTCTCTCTTCACAGTTCCTTACGACTCACCAAAAAATATTAATAAAATGTTCTTGGAGACCTTCAAGGCTCCAAGAGGACATTCTTCAACACTTCAGCTGCATGGACAGGAGTTTGGGGCAGCTGTAGTAGTTACTGGCAAGCATGGAAAAATGAACCAGGATGTCTCTACCGAAATAGGATCCTTTTGCTCTCTTCAAGGGATAAAACTGTTCAGGGACCTCCTATGTTGCTGCAGAGTTTCTGACTTTACAAAAAAAAAATCCTGTTGATTTACAAAGGACCCTGTTTTAAAAATCAAGCCAACGATAAACTCACAAAGAAGGGGCAATGTAAAAAAAAAAAGGATAAGAGTATTATTTTGTCATTTTACTGAGAAAATAAGTACAGTTTAATTGTGAATATTCAGTCTCAAACATGACAACTGTGTTTGCTATAAAGTAAGGGGGCAATTTATTTTATATAGTACATGACAATCGTTTGGTAATTAATTTTCACTGAATTTCTGAACTATTTGGGAACCTGTTTTGAACCAAGCTTCTCTTCTTATCTCTATCAAGCTTCTCTTCTTATCTCCTAAGTAGGGAGTTTTGGGATACTACACTGATCAAGTTTTGATGCCTTCTATTATTTTAAGGTATGTTCATACCATTTGATTTAAAAATCACCATGCTAGCTCAGATCCATAGGCCGACAAGTCCAATATTCTAACTCTGAAATATGGCCCAAATTTCCTTTACCATATTATCTATTGCTACAATAGTATTACATAACAAACAACCAAAAACCTTAACGATATAAGCATTTATTGTTTACATGCCTGGAATCACTGGAGGTTGCCAGGCAGCTCTGCAGACCTCGACTGGATTGGCTTACAACTTTGGGGGGTTGGTTTCTGCTGGGATAGCTACTGCGTATGTCTCTCATTCTTTAGCTAGTGAACCCAGGCACACTCTCATAAAAAAGGCAAAGAAGCAAAGGATAAGCCCCACTCTTCAAATGTATTCCAAGCCTCCACTTGCATCATGTCTACTAACATCCCATTGATCATAGAAAGTCACATGATGAAGAACACAGTCACATCATCTTTTGTGGGATAGCACTGCAAAGTGACATAATCTTGGGCATTGATATAGGAAAGGATAAAGAACTGGGTCCATCAGAGTACTTGACCATACTTCCTTATCCAGAGTTGATCTATAGTTCTTACATTTGCTTAAATACTTCAAGAATCTATTTATAGTTATTAATGTCTCACTTCTTCAGATTAAAGAATGGCCTAGGCTTTATATTACTAGGCAATTTGAAAAAAAAGAATGAAATCTTGCCATCTGCAATAACATGTATGGAACTAGAGGGTATTAAGCTAAGTGAAATAAGTCAGACAGAGAAAGACAAATACTGTATGATTTTACTTATATGTAAAATCTAAACAAACAAAAACAGACCTATAGATACAGAGAACAAGCCAATGTTGCCAAAGGGGAGGGAGGTGTGGGGTAGGGGGAAACAAATGGCCTAGTTCTACAAGTCTTACCAGTTTTACCACCTCCTTCTATTTGTTGTAAATTTATCTCTTTTGAGCTTTCAAAGGCACCACATTTCTAATATGAAGAGATTTGGCCAATATAATTGTGAACACACTATCCTTTCTTGTTCCACCTCAGACTAATTTTTTTTTTCCTTTTTGAGTCAGGCTTTGTACAGCTAATTCTGCTTTTCCTCCTAGCTCTCTGATCCCCTTAAATCATTCCAGCTGCTCTCTTTTAGGGAACATTCTCCATTTCTAAAATGGCCATCAGCAGCATACCATTTCTAAGCATGCTGCTCATCTTGATACCTCTCAATGCACCTGCCACAGTGCCTATTTCATTAGGGGCATATCAATACATGTGATAAGCGAATAGAAGGAAAACCCATTTCCCTCCCTGCTTATTGCCCCTCTCCCCTAGTAAACCCACACAGGTGCACCTAAGTACACTAATGCACCCTTCACCACTGCATTCAAATATTTTCACTTTCCTTTAAAAGGCCCAAACTTTATGCAGTTTGGCTATACTTTGTGATTTATGTTCTTTCACTTCTGACCTTTGCTCTGATCAACCAGTGCAATATAAAAGTGATAAATGGAGACTTGACATGGGGTGGTGAACCCTCAATACAATATACAGTATTGTGTTAAAGAATTGTACACCTGAAACCTATATGATTTTATTAACCAATGTCACCCCCAATAAAGTCAATAAAAATGAAAAATAACAAAACACACAAAAAATCCAAAAATAATAGCACTTAATGATCCAGAGATGAGTTTAGTAAACATCACTACATGTCATTCTATAACAGGCTTTTTCAACCTCTGGACACTTAACAGAACTATTACAAGTCCCTTCCTCAATTATAATTCCCTTTCACACTAATGATAATGATATCTTATTGTTCTCCCATGGTCACAAGCATCAAACCCTATACTGGTGGTTTTGTGTATTAATTCAGTCTTCACAGTGATCCTGAGGCAGACATGAATGTTATGTTATTTTTTACAGGTGAAAAACAAAGATGCAGAGAGGTTGATTAACTAACTGAAGTTCACCCAGCTAGAAAGTGGTGGAGTCAGGATTTGCATTTTGGCAGCCTGGTTCCAGAGCTCTTAGGCATGACGCTGGTATACCTTCATCACAGGACCATTCAGCTGAGCATGAAAATAAATACACAATACACTACAGGCACCTCCAACAGAGATCAAATAAAAAGTGAGGAAAAAGCAACAATGAAGAGATGAAAAGAGGTAAGATAAAAACATGAGACAAGAAAAACACGATCTTCCATGACAACACTGGGCTGTCAAAATCTGGATTTCTTTGAGCTTTAGAAAAATAGACGAAAAAAAATACTGTTGGCAGATTTCAAATGAGACAGTAGGTCTCAGGTTTGATCTGTCCAGTGAATGGCAGTTATTTAATTTAAACATGCAAGCTACTAATCATTTGAAAAAATAAGCTTCTGAACTACATTTTTAAAGGAATATATTGCTGTGCAAGTGCCATAAAAAATATTTTCTTAAATAATGTTGCTCAATTTCCAGGACTAAATGTGGAAAGATACTACTTTGGGATCTGTAAGAGAAGAACCCTAAACCCTTGCACTTGTCAAACAAAGCATCTTTCTTTCCCAGAACATTCTGAAATTTGTCAGAACTGTTTTAATTATGGTTTTTCTTGGAAGGCTCTGGATGGATTCTGTGACCTTTATGAGTCCTTCAGAGCTCGGCAACAATGAAGGAAGAAAACCCCAAATCCAGCCTCATCCAATCCATCATTAGATAACTACTAGCTAGCTCTTTTCACTAAGCCTCCAGCTGCATTTTTCAGTTAATATTTTAGAGAGTCTTTAGATCTTTCTGTTGACACCGTGGGCTTGGGGGAAGTTATTAACTCACTAACTTATAGTATTTCCATGAAATGCGTTGAAACCCTGACTATATTGAGAATTATGGTGGCAAATTTATGAAGCATGTTCACTGCTTTCCAAGAATCTAGCCTGAGACCAGTGAATTATTTTGTAACAGTTTTCCAAATGAGCCCCAAGGTCAATTAAGGTTAGTCATCTGGGACTTCAGAATCAGAAATACTGAAGAAAACATCCAATCTCCCAGCTCAGAGCATTTCTTTGATTTCCCTTTTCTGTTGTATGGGCAATAATCTAACTTTTAAGAAGCAACAAATTCTCCTATATAGCTATGAGTACTCACCATTTTTTTGACATTCTCGTCGGTAATATTGGTGTTATAATTCCAAGAAGCAAGTGAACTTTGATGATATAGTTTTTCAGCTTCAAGGTCAAACTTCTCCAAAAATTCCTTGGCTTCTTCTTCCACAGTGAGGTTTTGAGCAGCAGCTACAGCCACAAGGCTGAGAAAGAGCCAGGAAGAGCCTGACATCTTTCCCTGTGCGCCAAGATCCCATTCACTGAACAACTCTCCCTAGAGTAAAACCTCCTCATGAGTTTTTCTCTCTCATCAGCCTTTGAACTTGGGTTGGGCACTGAGCAGGGAAGATAGAAAAAAAAACAGAAGAAAAAAAACAGTAAACAATCTGATGAACCAATATAAAATTCATCCTGCAGAGGACAGATATGTAAGCATATTTTAGAAGATTTTTTTTAAGTAAATCAAATAAAAAATGTTATTCATTAATCCCAGAGAATCATAGCTCTCCTAGCTTTTATGACCAAATGAAAACTTGTACATTTGGGTTAATAATTTATAAACCAAATTCCTTGAAAGCTTGTTAAAGAAACACTGAAAGTGTTTTAATTTTACAGTGACCAAAGAAGCCTAGAATTAGGCATCATGGGGGTAATGTTGTTACTTATATGTTTTTCAGACAATTCCATAGTAAATTACCACTGCTTTCATTTTATTTCAAGCTCATATTCCCAGAAACTGTTTACTTGGGTAACATTTCCCATTCCTAATAAATGACTTAGCCCTTGTCTTCATGGAATTCATTTCTTTCTGATAAATTTTAATTTTCATGATCATTTTTTAAAACAATAAGATTCCACAGGTTAACTCTCCTGATCTAGCTTGGGAAAACTTAAAAAGGTTCATTTTTCTATTTACCAAACAACCATGTTAAACACTGGTTCTATGGCTGACTTCACTGTGCCTCCTTCCCTTTCACTTACCTGTTCAAACCTCACTGAAGGTCACAAGGAAATAAGAATGCCTCTGCATGGTATGAAATTGAAGGAGAGTCCATGTCAAGCTCTGGTCATCCTTAGCCATAGGATCATGGCAGTATAGAGTTTAAAGAGACTTTAGTTGTTATCCTGTCGAATCTCAGGGGCAGGATCAGTGTCCTCATTCCCAGGCTGTAGGTATTCATGTAGTAGATAAAAGAGAGGAGCCACTTTAAATGGCAAGGCTCATGGGCCTGGTTGACTGTGATTATGAAACCTTGAAACAGGGAAAACATTTCTTCACCTAGAAAAACGAGTCTTCCAGGTCCAGACGAAATGTCAGTAACCAACCCTTTTAAAAAAGTTTTCACAACTTCCCCTTGCTACAAAGTTGTACATACTATTATTAAGGAAATATAATTATAAGTAAGTGCTTTCCATTATATCTCAATCATTACCAAAAACCTAGAGGTGAATATTTTTTATTGCCATTATACAGATTTGAAACTGAGACTCAGAGAACTTAAACAAATTGCTAAACCTCACCTACTAGTAAGTGGTGCAGCCTGGACACAAATGCATGCAGCTTGATTCTAGAGCCCAGGCCTTTAACTTGTAGTCAATAGTCTAAAAGCAATAATGGAAGTGTAGATCAAGGGCAGCAGAGGGGCAGAGCTGATGCTGTCCTTTTGTGAAGGTAATGGATTTTGGTTCGGCCACATCAAGAAGAGGTAGATTCTTACTGTCCTTGATGTGACCTGTAATACACAAATCTTTTAAGAAATAAAGTAATTGACAAATTTAAGTAATTATGATAACGAATGTTAAGGAAAGTGAGACGGGGGAATCAGTGAAATTTCAGTGAGTTTCCTCCTACATTTGAGAAAGCTGAGATCCACTCAGTCCTCACAGGCATTAGGAGAAAACCAGTCAAGAGAAGGGGAACATCACAGGAGGCTCTGAACAAAGAGCTGGAATGTTACTTTAATAAGAGCTGAAACAAAACTCTACTAAGGTCACTTCCTGAATGAAGCTCTTGGGTTTAGAAAAAAATGGGAGTAGTCCAACTTCAATTCACTGAGGCAGAAAATAAGATTAATGTGATCAAATTAAAATGGCGAAAGCAGAATATAAAATCTGAAAGCTAAAAATAGATGGACAAGGAGCCTGAGATAACAGTGAGGCAGGAAAATTCTGGAAGCCAAGAAATTTTGAGAAGCAAAGGAAATGGGTAAGCTATCCACAATAATTCTGTAGGGAAACCAGCTAGATGATAGACAACTAAAAGCAGTGACTATATTGGTGGAATTTTTGTTCACTTTCCATTGAGAAGATGTCGCTTTCCTGATAGCTACCCAGATGCATTCTCTCCAAGCCCATTCTGAGAATGGAAAGAATCTACTGAAGACCCAGGGACAGAACACACATAGACAATTGGCATAGAGGAAAGGATTCTCTTTGAGGAAAAAAAATGAATTAAGAAAATACTAGGAGACTGGAGATGCAGGAAACGTGTTCTACTTTTCAAAAGGACTGGAGGGTAAATTTCATAAAGGGTAGAGAGAAGAGCTCTTGATCTTGACATCTCACAAAACTATAAAATATAACTTGTAAAATGTGTTTTGCACTTGGAATATACATATATTTATATATATTCATATATATATATGGATTCACTATGAACAAGTCAGATGTTGTCTGCCTCATTTCCTTTTTGAAAAAAGAATAGAATAGTAAACAGACAAAGACACAGTGTATCTTCCATTTCAATAAGGGATTTAACAAAGGTAAAGTCCTATGAATAGATATATGTAAATGTCCCAGAGACAACCACACACTATAGGATTAAGCAGTCCTGATCAACAACAGTTGGTGTCCAAAACAACAGGTCTTGATTTAACAATTATTTATTGTCTACCTACTATATGCTAGGCACTATTCTAGATGTTGGATATACATTAATAAATAAGACAGGAAAATTCCTGTGGATATCATATTATATAAGGTGGGGTAGAGGGAAGAAACAAAATAGCTGATGATAAAATGCTATGACTTTACAATAAACAAGAAAGGAGGATGGTGAATGACGGGTTTGGGATGACAGGGCTGACATTTGAGCAAAGACCTGAAGGAAGGGACGAAAGCTATGTGGACATCTAATGGAAGACTGTTCTAGGCAGAGGAAACAGCAAGTGCAAAGAGTACAGGCAGATCTCAAGAACATGAGAAGCCTTTGTGTCCAGAGCCCAGGCTGGAGGCCACACGAGGAGGGCCATAGAGACAATTGTAGGACTTTGGCTTTTATTCTGAGTAATGCAGGAAGACATTGAAGGGTTTCAAGCAGAAGAGTGATCTAGCAAAAGTCTTAACCAGATCATTCTCACTGTCAAATAGCAAGCAGACACTTAAGGGGTAAGGGTAGATGCAGGGAGTCAGCCAGGGAGTTACTACAGCAATCCAGTCAAGCAGGTTGAATAAAGGCTTAATATGAGCTGTAAATCCAACTTGGCTGCTCAACAGAAGGTAAATCCATCTTAGACTCTCTTAGACTTTGTTAATACAAGTATTAGGTATGAAATAATTTAGAGCATCCTACTCATTTCTGATAACCACCACTTTAGAGAGACATAGGAGGATATCCAGAGAAAAATAAATAAATGCATCTAAAATAATGTCATTTGAAGCACAATTCAGACACGGAAGAGAAGGTTTAGGATGGACATCTCTCCCCCATCATGGGGCTGTCAGTTGAAAGAAGACTTAGGTAACATAACAGATTTACTCCACCACATACTAGCTATGTGGCTTTAGGCAGGTAATATTCCCTCCACACCTAATTTCCTAAGTTCAAAGTTGATGACAGCATTATACCCATCTCATAGGGATGTCGTAAGTATTTTATTAATTAATACTTGAGAACACAAAGAAGAATGCTAGGAGCCTAGTAATAATAAAAGTCACTCAAAATGAGAGGAGCTGTGTAATCATTAGGGAACTTTGAGAAGTGAGGGAAATGGGAGAATTGCCCATAGTGGTTCTGTAGGAAACTGTTATAGTCCACGAATAAGAAGGTTCACATAAACACATCTAAAATGTACTGGTTGGATTATACCAATTTTGCATTTTTAAACCACTTAAGGTAGAAATGTTTCTATAATATATTCCATCCTAATCAGGATGTTGACTACAATATTTTGCGTGTCTTTCTTTTTTACAATGACTCACTGTCATTATCGTGAACATTGTTTACTGACTAGGCTATAATGTGACACTGTCATCAAGGCTTTACATTAAATGGCTCCAAACAGCTTTGTTGCTCTTAACTCTCCTGTCTATGCAGGCTCTGAATTTGCTGTCACTTCTTGAAGTATGTACTTCTAGTAGCCCTGCCCACCACAAATCCCCTCCCTGTTTATGATATGCTACCTGCTAAAACCTAAATGGAAACTAGATAACCATAGAGTTCAATCAGAAAATTCCCCCTTCATAGGCTCAGACCTGAGGGTGGGTCTCCACTCTGCTGGAGCAAAGTACATAGACTTTGAGATCCATATTTCCCTTACTGCTCAACTTTTTACTTACTTCTAACAGTCATAAATGGCGAGGTTGCCAAATAGCTATAGCAAAAGCTTCCTCTAGTTCCTGAAGTTGAGAGGACAACTTAAGTATGAGAGGACAACTTCAGTAAACTTCAGAGAGGGGAAATAAAGGATATTTTGGGTAATATTTTATCTTAAAATTGATAGAGTAATGCTTCCGACAGAAATAAAAATGGATATCAGGAATATAAAGCATAAAGAATTTAAAACTTACATGGCCAAGAATTACTTGCATTTTGTATAATTGGTTTTGACCACATATATTTATTATATGAAGTGAATTTATAAGTACTTTGCAGAAAATAAATAACAAATTGACTTTTTAGTTCAAAGAAAAAGCTAAAGCTCTTTCCTGTTTACATTTCTAGTTGCATAGCAGTCATTTTTTCCTATAGATAAAACAAAGATTATCTTTATTAACCAAACTGACAGTTATTTCCAACAGACTGCAAATTTATGAGAACAAACTGGATTCCAGGGAGGTTATACTGATTATTACTGGTTTAAATATATGATAATATAATGCTTGCCATGTAACCCTAATTTATTTTTCATACCCAGACTGTGAAAAATATCAGGTAAAACTAGAGCCACTAGCATTAATTTACATCTAGAGTCTAAGGAGTAAAACTTGAGCCTTTATCCTAAGTAAAATTAG